CTGGAGGTATTTAAGGAATGTGTGGAGGTAACGCTGAGGGATATGGCCTAGTGGTGGCAATTGGTAGGTCAGGCTGATGGTCAGACTTGGTGAACTTTTACAACCTTGATGATTCAATAATTCCACGATTCTATGCAAGGGGCTCTTTTTTGGCTGGGGTCTTTGGTTAAGGCAGATTTTCTGAAGCAGTGGTGGGCAGAACCAGGCAGAGCCACAGCAGGCCCAGTGCTGGGGCACTGGCCAGGTTCCTCGGAGCTGAGCTGTTCCTTGGAAGAAGGGATGGCAGTGGCTGCAGGGAAAGCAGGGCCATGTGCCCTTACCCTGAGCACTCAGGTTCAGGTGTGTGTGCAGGTGTGTGATCTCCACGCTGCATCTGTGCCCTCCTGCACTGCCCAGCTCGATGCAGCCCAGCACCTTCCCAGTGGAAGGCAGCCCCCAAACTCCAGGCACTCCAGGACATGGAATGCCACTGAAGATTAAGGCTTTGGGATATGAGCCACAGTTTGGCTGGGTTACCAGCAAGAGACTGGAACATGTTTGCACTGAAGGATTTTAGTGTGTGAGCATGTAACACTTGAGGACTTTTTTGCATTGCTGGTTTCCTGGCCAGGGCACTATAATTACTGGCAGTGCTTATTCTGTGGCATCACAATCATTTATTTCACCTGAAATGGGCAAAAGACCCCAGAAGGGATCTTTTCTGTGGGCCTGGTTCTCCACCTTCCCTCCCTCCCTCCAGTGCTCAGTTCTGCTCTGGCAATGTACAGGGCCCTGAGGATCACCATCAGGGACCCCCACCTTGCTCAAGGAGCAGGGTTGGGGGGCTCAGCTCCTGATCAGCTGTAACTGTACTCACTTTGCACTGCTGTGAATGTTGCATTTGGGCACTGGTGATGAAAAGACTGAAATCCCATTCTGTACCACCTCTCACCTCCACTAAGAGAACAAAATGAGAGGAAATTGTAGTTTCCCCATGGATATGGTGGCTGCACACCAGCGTGGCTGGGGAATGGCAGCAGCCGGTGTGTGCAGAGGTGTGCAGAGGTGTGGGGGGGCCATAGCGCGGCCCCCCTCAGCTAAATGCAGGGGCAGAAAGCTGGCTCCCTGAGCACAGCCGGGTGCTGACGTTTATCTTGCAATGCAGCCAGGGCGGCGAGGAGCTATCTGGTACAGGGCCGCAGGGTGTGGGAGGCCGGGAGCTGCCGGTGGGCGATAGAGGGGCCGTCAGAGCAGGGCAGCGGGGTGTGAAGCGGCCGATAGGTGCCTCCTGTGCTGCAGGCCTCCGGGATGCGGCAGCGGCCTGAGCACAGCAGAGCCCATGCTGGGAGAAGCGGGGTAGCTGTGGTACAAAACAGGCACAGTGCTGTGATGGAGACACCTCACCAACCTGGTCATGGAAACCCCTGTCTGGCTCCTGAGCCCTGTCCCACTGCACTCGGGGAAGCGCTGTGTTGGCCCTTGTAACGCGCCCCTCTCCCGAACTGTCCCCCCGGTGTCCCCTGGGCTCTGTTTGCTCCAGCCCAGTGCACAGGCTCTGGTAGGAGGCCAGAGGCTGGAACCTTTGGCCAGGAGCCTGTGTCTGTCTTGAGTTGAGCAAATGAAAGCCCCAGTGAGGAACAGGGATAAGAGCAAATAACTGAACCAGTTATAGGCAGGGAAAACACTGCCTTAAGGGATACTGCCCTGGAGACATCTTGCCATGAATAAAAAAGCTGTTTGTGCCAATTTCTGTATTGCTTTTGCCCGAGTTCTTGCATTGAGGGATAACTCAGAAGCTGTTTAATTAAATCATTAGCTTTTCCCTGAGTGTCCTGGCTTTTATGCCTGACTTTGTGCCTCACATCCCTTCACCTCACTCTGCTCTGAACCGCCTGTAGCCCATGACACTGGACTGGCTTTCGAGCTGAGCAGAGCCTGCTGAATCCCTTTACAGGGATATAGGGACAGCGATATATGAATATGGTCAGGTCCCCTCTCCTGTGGTGCCCTGGAGGTCCTCTGTGTATTCCTGTTGTGACTAGCCCCAGACTGCACAGTGTCTCTAAGACACACATTTCAAAGCCACAAGACTTCTGACAATATTAAAGAAACACAGTAAAAGGCTGTAAGCCAGCTGAAATGCTGAGGACCGTGTCTGGATAGTAAGTAGGTCATTATATGGCACGAAGTTCAGGCTGTGAGTGCCTGATGCTGGACTACCTGAACAGTGGCCCAAGCAGGCAAATGGGTGCTCCGCTCCTCTTGGAACCAGGGCTAAAGGGCACGAAGGGTTAAGCCTGGCTCCTGAAATGAGATATCCATGTTAGGGGATGAGTGGCTCTCTCTGACCCCCAAGTGAATTTTGCTAGCCTCCTACCAGGAACGAGAGGTGGACAGACAGAACCGATGTTTTCCTGTTGTTTCTTTCACTGGTGCAGCCAATAGCTTATTAATGACCTGCAATGCAGATTTTTTGTGTTCCTGACCTCTGCAGCTGGAAAAAATGGGCTAATAAAAGGTGCGTGGCACAGAATCAGCGCTACTGCAGCACCCTGCCTGCCCAGTGCCAGCCATGCACTCGCTGCAGGTGTCCAGGGTCTCATGCAGGTCTCGTCATTCTGCTCCCTGCCCTCTCAGTCTGGTCACAGACTGAATCTGCTGTGCCTAGGGGCTGACTCTGGGACAGAGCAGCACTCATTTAACCTGCAGTTATGTTTCCCCCTAGTTTATTGCTACAGCACAGAAGCCATTTGAAATGACTTTGGGTTGAAGGCAGAGTGCTTAGGGCAATGAGCCAAAGCTAAATTAGAAAACTCTCCTTGCGGTAATAAGATCAAGCTCACTGCCTACTTGCTGTAAAACTCTGATATGCGCTGACTCTCCACCGTGGCGTGCCCACGTCTCTTCTGCCTGGGGTCTTTTCTGTTTCCCTTCCCTCCTGAGGAAAGAAATGACACCATCAGAGATTCTTGGCTTTCATGTTCAGGCCAGTAACCACACTGTCCCAGCCAGGGCAAGGTGTATAAATTATGGTGATTCAGACCAGCCTGCTGCTGCACTGCATTTTCCCAAATCTGTCATTCTGTCCTGAAAGGGTCTAGAGCAGGAGCCCTGCTTGTTCCTCGGGGTCTGTGACCATCTTGTAAAGCTGTGCTCTGGTTCCACATTCAGGGTCCACCTGGACAGTAACCTGAAGCCTGCTTTTGTCCCTGGAGCAGCTCTTCAGAGGGTATCAGCATTAGCAGAGTGGTGGGGGTGCAAGTTAAAATGAGGCACCAGGGCTAGACTGGACACAGCCAAAATGCCAGTGGGGCAGGAGCAGGCAGCAGCCCATATGTGAATTTACAGCTCAGACTGGCTGTAAAGGGTGGTTGCTGTTATGGACTCTCCACACCCAGAAGTCCCCAGTATGCTCCTAACCTTATTAGCTGTCTGATTCTCCTGCTGTTACTCATTTTTTGAGTGCCCATCTTACAGGATGTAAAGAGTATAAGGAATTGCTGTAGGTATAAAACCAGCTATTAAAAGGGATCAATACAGAAGAGTGGTGCCAAATGAGCTTGCCTCAGAGCAACAGATGGAACATTTCAGCCACTTTTTCCTGTTTACTCTGCTACCCTTCCCCTCCCCTTGGCTCTTTGGGACCACTGTTAAGCATCTCGTGAACACCTGTTCCTGCTCCTGCAACTGCACCAGCAAAAACCAGACCTGAGTGGTCTCAAAAAACACTCAAAACAGTCCATGGTGTGGGATCAGAACCTGAGGTTTCTCACTGTAAGCCATATCTCTGCCTGCTTTTCCATGGAGTCCATCATGCATTTTTAAACCACAAAAAATCAGCATTTTTAAACCACAGATTCTTGCTAGCAGCAATACTTCAGTTAATATTCTCCTCCAAGCCTCTGTGTTTGATGTTGTTCTGCTTCTCCCAGCTTCACATGCCTATCTGCCAGCCCTCCCTGAGCTTTGTCATTCTGCTGGTTCAAATGCAGCAGCAAAGCATCATTATCTTCTGTCTTTTAAAGTTCATCTTCACAGAGCTGAAAATGAGACTCCCATCACCGAGGAGGCAAATGCACTGCTAATAATAGACCCAGATGTAGCTTGGATTTTATCTTCAACGTGGGTTTTCCACCAAATGTAGGCTATAGGATGAGAGAATTGATTAATGAAAAGTCCATGCTAGGCCATGTATTGTCCTCACCCAGCTGCACGTACAGCTGTTTTGGCCAGCTCTTTGCTCTGCTGTATGCACCGACTCACATGATGTGAATATCTGTATGAATTTAGGGCTGCATATATTTGATTTAATGCTGTGAGTCTTGCCTTAATAAAAACTGACAACTTCTGAAGTCGTCAGATCTCCTCACGAACACGGGTGTGTGACTCTGTCTGTTCTTTAGGTCAGAAACTACAGCAAGTGCTGGCCACCTGTATGATACATTTATCTGCACTGAGCAGCCTCCGCTCCACATTGTGCTATCAGAGCTCCCCGGTGACTCCCTTGCAGCTGAAAGGGGCCTATGGGCCTTGCCCAGGATTCAGAAATTAAAAACCCAAACAACAAACAACCAACCAAATGAAAAACTAAAAAAAAAATTAAAAAAAAAAAAAAAAGTGCCTCCTGGGACGCTGAAGCAAGGGTCTGAAATGTGACCACATCCCTGGACCACCCCAGCTGGAGCACAGTGAGATGCCCGTGCTTGTGCCACTGCCCTGTGCAGCTCTGTTCATGTCAAAGGGTTTGTAACCGGAATGGGGCAGAGGTCTGGATGAAACCTCCTAGACTGCCTGCAGACAGACCCAAGTCCCACAGGCTTGCCAGGACACTTCACACCTCCTGCATCCTGGCTTTGCATGCCTGTGCATGGGAGCACAGTTTTGCCCAAGGGCTTAACATGTCCTTCCATTCAGGAAAAACAAAAACTCATTTCACGTGGAGAGTGAAACCCAGAGCCAAGCAGAAGCCTTTTGTCAGGCTCTGAAATGATGGAAGGGGATGTTGCTGGTCTGGCTGTAACGCGGCTGGTCCTGCTATTCTTGTACAAGGAATAATAATTTAATTTCACAGAAGGGAGAGGACAGGGAAGTGCCTGGCTCATTAGTGCAGTATGACCATTAGAAGAGCAGAGGAAGCTGCCCCAGGCAGTGCCTGCCAGCTCCAGCACCCCACTGCAGTCCTGCAGCCCGAGGCAGTGGAGAGGTGCAACCTCTCCCTGGGGCTCACACCAGTCATGGCCACATGCCCTGGGCACTTGGGCTCCCAGTTCAGGGGTGAGGCTCTGGGCTGGCAGCCTGACGTTTTCCACACTTCCTCCTGATGAAAGGTGCTCGATTTAATAAATGGGCAGCAGCTCCTCTGAAGGTCTGTGCACACAGAGCTGCAGAGCTGCAGTCAAGGGCAACAGCCCTCAGCATCCTTGGGAAGGTGTTGCTGTGCAGAAAGGCCTGTGCAGCGCCCAGCTTCATGAACCAGGCCACCTGCCATGGCAGAGAAACATCCCTCAGGTTTAGAGAGCCTGTAGATGCTGCAGAGGGGCCAAATTCGGGTGCTGCAGGCATGAAGGCAGTGTAAAGCACCTTGCACAGGGGTCAGCTGGTAGAAGGGAGGAAAGGGAGATAAGGGCTGCTATGCCCCGAGCCTGCCTGTTGAGTCTCAGGGCTTTTCCCTTGAAGGCCACACCTCGCTGCAGACTGACCACCCCGTGGACAGGGCTCTGCTGGCGGACCCCCACCCATCCCCAGCCAATGGCCCCACAGCACGGGGCGGGGAGGGGCTGCGGGCAGCGGATAAAAGCACCCAGGGGTCTGCAGCTCCGCTACAAGGTCCGTGTCCTCCTGCAGCCACACGCTACCCTCCGCCCGACACCATGGTGCACTGGTCAGCCGAGGAGAAGCAGCTCATCACCGGCCTCTGGGGCAAGGTCAACGTGGAGGAATGTGGAGCTGAGGCTCTGGCCAGGTAGGTTCAGCTCCTGGGCATCGGCTCGGCTGAATCTGCATGGAGAAACTGCTGCAGGCACAGCTAATGGTGTGTGTGTGTGCTCATGTCTCCCATTCTCTCTGCAGGCTGCTGATCGTCTACCCCTGGACCCAGAGGTTCTTTGATAACTTTGGGAACCTGTCCAGCCCCACTGCCATCATTGGCAACCCCAAGGTCCGTGCCCATGGCAAGAAAGTGCTCACCTCCTTCGGAGATGCCGTGAAGAACCTGGAAAATCTCAAAGCAACCTACTCCAAGCTGTCCGAGCTGCACTGCGAGAAGCTGCACGTGGACCCCGAGAACTTCAGGGTGAGCCATGAGTGGGGATTGTCCATCTCTCCCTCCATCTAATAGATTAGCTCAGTGCCTGGAGGGTTTAAAGAGCATTAATAACAGAGATTTTGGGTGCTCAGGAGAAAGGGGCTGCCTTGGATGTGTCCTTAAGAAGGGGAGGGAAGGTTGGGCATTTGATACTGTCAGGGAAGGGGCTCCATGTGGTTACAGATTTGGGGACAGATCCAGGGACATGCCCTCGCTGCCTGGAGGCATGGTTGGAGAAAAGCATGAGAAAGAGAAGCTCGATGATGCTGAAGGTGGAGAGGACAGCAGGAAAGTGCCTGAAGAGTGCTGCTGCTGTGCTGGTGCCCTGTGCAGCCTCTCCCTGCCACCTCCTGCCCCCAGGGACGGGGACCACTTCACCCTCACTTTTTCCAAGGCTGGCAGATGTAGGAGGAAAGGGGAAAAGCCAGCATGGGATGGAGACCCAGGGATGCCCAGGGTGTGGATACTGATGGGAAGAAAGGCCCTGGAGATGTAGGCTGGAATTAAAAACAGAGAACATGTCTGGGTGGGGGTAAGTTCAGCAGAGGAGGGAGGGGAGCAGGAGGGGCGTAAATGAATGGACATCAGGGTGCTGGGGGGCAAAAAGTGTCTGTGGGTGGAGAGCAGGCAGTTCAGACTGGAGGGGACTGGGAGGGCTCGATGCAGCTGATAGCCTCCATTTCAGCCCCTGCTTCAGCCTAACCTCAGGAATGTAGCAGGCAGAGCTGGCATGGACCTGAGCCCCAGCTAAAGTAGGCATGGGGATTCACAGCAGGAAAGAAAAAAAATATATAAAATGTTTGGAAATACACTCTAGAGTATGGAAAAAGCAGGTGTGAGAAAAGGCAGGGGCAGAGCTGGTGGATACTGGTGCTTGTGGTTGGCACAAGACACTTTCCTGCACAGAGAATTCAGCTAAAAGAGCTTCTCTGCGTGGCAGCCTCCAGCACCCAACATAGCAGATGGGTTTGCCTCCAGCACCTGGGTCCTACACGGGATGAAGGGGTGCTCAGTGCCATGCTGACCTGATTTCCTTTCTTGTCCCCCCAGCTCCTGGGAGACATCCTCATCATTGTGCTGGCCGCACACTTCACCAAGGATTTCACCCCTGCCTGCCAGGCCACTTGGCAGAAGCTGGTTGGCGTGGTGGCCCACGCTCTGGCCTACAAGTACCACTGAACGCTCCAGAGGAGGATGCAGCTGTAACAGTCAATAAAAATAAAAACAAACAAAACATTTTCTGAGCTTCTCAGTGTGCTCCTGTGTCTCTGCAGCTGCTTATGGGAGGGAGGGGGAGAGGAAACAGGGGAAACAGGGGGTACAAAAGGGGAAAGAAGGTCTCAGGGCTGCTAGGAGTATCATGGTCAAAAAAGAAAAGAAAAAAAAAAAGTCAGACTAGCCTAAGGGAGGATGCTCCTCCTGGCTATTTGGGCTCTCTCACTGCCCACGCTGTGCTGCCTGCCCAGCTGGGCTCGTACCAGCCACCCAGAGCCCCATGAACAGAGGGATGCTGGGGGCATTTAGAGCTCCAGGGGAACATCTGGAGATACTGGCCTGTCAACAAGCTGTGGACACATCCTAGCCCACCGAGCACTCTAAGCTTGCCGAAATAGCTGGGGAGGTTTTCTGACCTCCTCTGCATAGAAAGCCAAGCTGCAGGTCCAGCAGGAATCTTCTGGCCCTAAACCTCTCCACCTGCACTGCGTGCAAGGATATAAATTTGGAGAGACTCATTCAAGACAGCTTAGACAGAAATGTGAGCTTTCGTAGTACTAATGTATCTTCAAGAAAATGATAAAAAGCATTTTCTATGTCAGCAGTGAAAATGCTCTTCCCAATAGCCTTGGGCGTTTTGTCAGAATACGCTCTCTGCAAGATGATGTGGATGGTCTGGAGAGGAGGGGTTGAGGGCAGCTTTTACATGGGACTGATCAGAGCATTTTAATGTCAGATTAACTTAATGAACGATGATTTTTCACTGTAGCGGAAAGATTCAACATAAACACATCAGTTTCAGGAATGCTTTTTCAGGAGTAACTTAAAAAACAACAAGGACAGACGTCTGTGTCTCAGAATGATGAAATCATTGTTTTGCAAGATTTAGGAACAAATATTCCGCTTTTCTGCAGATAAAGCAGGGAATTGCACTCATGACCACCTTATGCCAGACAGCCATCCAGTCTGACAGGCGGTGGATCCAGCCCTGCCAGCAGTGCCAAGCACATCCTGGGCTGGGGGGAAAAAGAAACCAGCCCAGCTTTCCTACAACATGTCATGCTCCCTTCGGTCAGCAAACGGGAATGTCAGTGTGATTTCAGGAAGTAAGACCGTACTCAGTGTCCTGGTTAACTCTAGTTAAAGTTCAGACCTTCGGTAGTTGCCACCAAAGAAAAAAGCTTGCTTGCACCTGAGGGGCCAGCAGCGCATACCCTGTGTTGGGCAGAGACTCTGATGGGTTCCCTCTTCCTCTGGGGCCTGATTCTCTGCTGGGCTCGGTGGGAACCTCTCGCCCAAGCAGCTCCCTCCCAGGAGTGGTTCAGCACCAGCAGTGTCCCGGTGTGTCCTGCTCCCTGACCGTGCACTGCAGCCAGGGCTGGGATGGTCTGGTTGGCCTTATCCTGCCAAAGTCCTTCCATCAGCTGGCAGGAGAACAGGGAACCAAATGCACCCCTGCAGGCCAGCACGCCCTACAGACCATTACCCTGGGGAGGAGGGCCCAGGCTCAGCAGCACAGTGGCAGGGGGAAGAGCAGTGCTGGTGCCTTGCCGTGAGCTCAGGGCATTTCTGCAGCGGCAGTGCAGCGCGGTGCTGAGATGCTCTGGTGGATGCACGCAGCTCCTCGAGCAAACTGGCAGCAGTCTGGTTTAGGATCTGTAGGAAGGAATGACCTGTACCCTGAATAGGTCATGAACTTCGTTAATTCCAAACTGTTCTTTGAAACCCACACAGGACCAGGTCTCATGGTGTGCTTTGGTGTTCATAAGCGTGGAGACCAGAACATTCATCGTGCAATTAACACCTGAACAGCAGTAGGTGCTTCCAAGACTAATTTATTGAGGAACAAAAGAAGTTGTGGGCACAAGGAGTCATGTGCTTACCTTTTCCCTCTTACGTAAACTGACAAAAAAAAAACAAATACATTATTCCATTAGCATGTCAGTCTGGGTGAGCCTTTTTTGGAGTTCTCCCTGCACCTGGCTGCAAAGCGGTGATTCCCCTTTGAGCTGGCACACATCGCAAGGATACTCCTCAAGGCTGAGAGGTCCCTTACCAACTGCAAATCTTTGGGAAGCGACCAGTACTGTGCATAACTTGTACCACAGGGAATTAACATCTTCCATGGCAAACTTTGAATTATTATTATATATATATTATACTATTACTCTGTGCAGTAAGTAATAAGTTGAACCTTGCCATCATTTGTTAAACCTCACCTTTGCAATATTTTACTTCAATAAACTATTTTGCTATTACATTTGGCAGTGATTCTGTAGACAGTTTAAATCTTGCCCATGACAGACGCCGGGAGCCGCAAAAGGCCCTGGTGACAGCAAGCCATCAGCTTGCTCCTTTGCTGGGTTTATGGCAGTTGGCTTGTGTTCAGGACCTCACTTCTGCCTTGCCCTCTGTTACACCGTTTGAGTGAGCCCTGTCTGCTCCCCGAGTCCCAGGAGCTCTGTACGATGCAAACAGCTTTTGGAGCCCAGAGCCACCTAGAAGCAGTTCCAGCCCTTCCCAGCCCTGCCAAGGCAGTGCTGGCTGCTGCAGGGCGAATTCACATTCCCATTGTGCTGCCTGCTGCATCCACGCCAGGAGGAAGCAGCCAGGTCCTGCCCTCGGCTGGGAGACCAGGAGCTGCTGGCACAGGATGGAAGGAGCCTCGACAGGGCTGTTCAGATGCGGAAGGAAGATCACAGAAAATAAAATGGGAGCAAAGACACCCACAAGGCAGACTGGCTCTAGGCTTCAGAAATTGCGTGTTCTGAAGGAGAGAGAAGAGGCTGGCCTGGATCCAGAGGCTGGGTACATCTGCCGCTCCAGCTGATAAGGGCGCGGGTAAAGCTTGGCGCAGGACACTGCCTGCTGCAATCAGAGTGACCAATAACCTCTGCTTCCCTTATAAAGGCCTGGAGCCTTTTGCAGCTAGTGGGACACTTTATGTACAAAATGGGACAGCTCCTGTTCATGGAAGTGGGCATGACCCAGTGTGGGGCCAAGCGATGATGAACCACACAGGGGGCTCTTCCACCCAAAAGTGAAAATACTTGTCATTCTTGCATACACCTTCAAGGCTGTGTCCACTTCGCTGTGAGCTTTTGCCTCTGATGACAATACGGACCAGTGCCCAACGGCTGTAAATGGGAGCACACAGCCTCTGAGCCTGCCCAGGTCATCGTGCATAACATGTTTCCTTAAAAAGTCTTTGTGGCTGACAAATTACGACTAAAAAGCCCTTGGAAGTCAGGAGATGAAGCAGGGAGTTTCATCTCATGCTTTTTCTTCTCTCAGCTGACAGCCGATAACTGCCCTGCAGATCTAATGCTGGAGATCATGCGGAAAGTGCTTTGAAGATGTCACTCACTAGGAAGAGACGTTCTCCAGCAGGAGCACAACAGATGCTGCTGCCCACTGCACTGAGTGAGGAGCCACATGGACTGTGGAGGGATGGGGCTGAAGGAGGAGGAAAGAAAGAGACATAAGGCAAAGCTCAGCAAGCCCCAGGAGTTGCTCAACCTTTGCTTCATCTCTTGGTTTAGCAGCTCACCTTGTACCCTGGATGGGCATTTGAAACTGCCCTCATGGGGTGGTCCACCTGAGCTGGTCTGGTGCTGAGCTGTCACAGGGTGGGTGCCACTAATTCACCAGCCCACCCTGCTGATAAAGAATCCGGAGCCATGTCTGCAGAGTGATGTCTTGGCATTACAGCCTCCTCATTTCATAGCCTACAGTACATCAGGACTCTGTTCTCAAAATGATGCTACTTGTACTTTTCTTATTCTTTGACGGCCTCATCTATTAGTAGGAAGCACCATGGATCAAGATGCTCTGCCAAGTAGGAGGGTGGGAAAAAAGTGACAACTTTCAAAGGTGTGCCAGCTGCCGAAAGGACTGGTGTTGACCAGAGGAAAGGCTGGAGGAACTTACTGACAGTTTAATTTGGAGCAGGCTGATAAGAGGCAAGATTTGTAAAGACTGCTGCCAAGGGGAAGACAAGAGGACAGACTTCAGCCTGCAGGCAGTGAGAGAGCATCCCTGCAAGGCTATTTCACAGGGCTGAGTTATTTTATGTGAACAATCAATCTGATCGAGACAGCTCTACCAATAGCAGGAATGCTGCTTTGCCAGGACATCGTATTTCTTTTGGGATATGGAATATCCCAGTTATCAGAGGGGCTCAAAGGTTTTGTCAGTGCTGGTGTCTGATATAGCAAACCATCCAACTTTTGCAATGCAGGCAAGGTTTCAGCACATATTTCTGCTAAAAGCCTAAAAAAAAAAAAAAATAATAATAATAATAACAAAAAAGAAAGAAAGAAAAAAGAAGAAAAAAGGATGGTTACCTATTCAGTTCAGACTTTTACATGGTGTACACCCCATTTCCAGTTTTGGCAGGCTCAGAAGTGTGCCCCAAAGCTACCCAATCATTAGATGAAGAGAATGTCATCAGTGCCATGCAGTAACAAGGCATTTAAAATCTGACATAAAGTTGATGTTGTATTTTCTACTTCCTGGAGGGCAGGCAGAGGAAATTGGCATCAGACTGTGCACAGCACAGCCCGGCCCTAGCTTCCCACCGGCGTGGGGTGGGACTGACTGTCCTTGTGGGTGGCGGGTCTGGCTCACACTGCTCACGGGATGAAGGCTAGGGCTCGCACCCTGCTCTTGAGGCCCACTCAGAATCACGCCCTCCAGGTGGGTTCATTTTCTTGTGCTCGAGATGGTCAACAGCAGAACAGCACAGACAGCGGCTGTGGACAACTGCAGTGGGTAAAAGCAATGGACAACAGCTGTGAAGCTCTTTGTTAGGACTGAGAAGAAAGGAGGATATTGCCTTTAAAGCACAAGGCCTACATTTGGGAGTCATCATTGTGCTACCATTTCCCAGAAAGCCTCCGATCCTTCAAGCAGGGGCTGATGATGCCTCGAGCCGTTCAGGATGGATTCCAGCAGCACAGTGCACCATCAGGAGTCTGAAAGCAAGGCCAAGACAGAGACTGAAAGCTCTTTGAATGTCGCTGCCTGTCCCGTTGGATCTCCTCTGCACCTTCAGGTCTACGGCTCCTGCTGCAGCACTGGTAGCCCATGGCCGTGAGGAGCTCCACCTGCGCTCAGGGCTGCATCTACAAGCTCATGGGTGCGAGATGCAGCTTGTCCACTCAAAGGCAGAGGGGGGAAAGGGCCTCTTTTCCCCCTGGACAGGATCCAAAATTGCTATCTTTCTTAGCGCAGCCCAGCTCCCTCCCCAGCCCTAACCAATGGCAATGTCAACTGAGATTAGGACAAGCTGTTACTAGTGTATAAAAATCCCTGGAGCAAACTTCGACTCCACTTCCTAGTAATTGTTTAGAGAAGCCTCAAGCAAGCCCTTTTGCTCAGCACCATGGTGCACTGGACAGCCGAGGAGAAGCATCTCATCACCGGCCTCTGGGGCAAGGTCAATGTGGCCGACTGTGGTGCCGAGGCCCTGGCCAGGTAGGTTCGGCTCCCAGTCATCAGCCCAGGTACCAGGAGGGAACATTAACAGTGTCTGTGTGTGATCGTCTTCCCCCTTCTCTCTGCAGGCTGCTGATCGTCTACCCCTGGACCCAGAGGTTCTTCTCTTCCTTCGGGAACCTGTCCAGCCCCACTGCCATCACTGGCAACCCCATGGTCCGCGCCCATGGCAAGAAAGTGCTCACCTCCTTCGGGGAAGCTGTGAAGAACCTGGACAACATCAAGAAGTGTTTTGCTCAGCTGAGCAAACTTCACTGTGACAAGCTGCACGTGGACCCCGAGAACTTCAGGGTGAGCTGCGCTCGGACCCCAGCCTCAGTGGAAGGACTCAGTTTCTGTCCCCTGGAGAGGGCTCTGGGGGTCTGGCAGCCAGTGAGAGCCAGAAGCAAATCCCTGGGGCTGCCTGAACATAGGCACCTGCTGAGGGAAGGGGCAGTGGAGGGTAGTGCACAGGCATATTTGAGGATAACATGCAGGAGTTCTGGGGCTGAGATATGAGAGAGGAGGGACCCAAGCAGGTGAGGTGCATGGGCATGAAATGCAGCCAAATACGTGCAGGCTGCGGAGTGAGCAGGGAGGAAGCAACATGAGCTTGGAGCACCCAGAGACCAGAAAAGAAGAAACTGAGGCAGGATTGAAGGAAAGAGACAAGCCTGGGCACGAGGGAATAGCTACTCCAAGACAGAAAATAAACACAGCCATTTCAGCAGAAGGAAGGGATCTGAGCCAAGGCAAAGCAAGGAGAGGGAGGGAAGTGAAAGGAGAGGATAAGCCCAGCCAGAGCAAGGACACTAGCACAGCAGGTGTAGGGAAGGTGTCTGGGGAGGGGGATTCAGCACACTCGGGCATCCTGGTCAGGGCCGGAGATGTGGGCATGGTGCTCTGCATGGGGCTGTGATAAATCAGCTCCTTGCTTTGTGATGGATCCTCGATCGGTGCATTGTGACCACTGCCGCAGCCCAGGTGGTGTGTCCTGAGTGCTGGGCGGGCGGTGGGGCAGAACCCCGGGCTGACAGCTTCTCCTCCCTCCACCGCCAGCTCCTGGGTGACATCCTCATCATCGTCCTGGCTTCACACTTCGGCAAGGATTTCACCCCAGCCTGCCAGTCTGCCTGGCAGAAGATGGTCCGTGTGGTGGCCCATGCTCTGGCTCACGAGTACCACTGAGCTTCCTGCAACCATTCGCACCAGGAGATGCTCCCAGATCACGGGGAAGCATCCTCTGGGGCTGCTGGTCTGTAACTGCCAAATAAACACCAACTGCTTCATCACACGGCGTCTGCCTCTCTGTGGGAATGGGAGGGGGAACCACGGCGGGGTGCTGGGAACAGGAATGAGATGCTCACACACATGGGGTACCACAAGCCATGCCTTGTTCCTATGAATTCATGCTAGTGAGACTTGTCTAAGCTGGAGAACCCAGGAAAACATTCTAGACTAGAACACATAAAGACACTACTAAACACATACAATAAAGCTGGTGGTTTATTGAGACATCAGGCAACAGCACTGGGTTTCACGTTTTAAGCCTTTCACAGATAAAGTGCAACAAATCTTTGCACAAAAATGTGCAATGGGAGAAATGCCAGTGAGATTAGGTCTGCTTGTAGCTTCTTTCACAGAAGAAAGCATATTATTTTTTTGGTCCTTGTTTAAATTATTATCATCCTCGGATTACTAAAGGTAGACTGTAACATTTACAAATATCTATTATGGCAAAAACTATGACAAAAGTGCTAATTTCATGTACAGGAAGGACAGAGTACTTGGTTTCAATGGCCACTGCATGTAAATTTTCACGAGCGAAAGAAAGTTCCCTGAAGTCTCCGTGCCATGCAGAGGGTCATGTCCCTCGTTGCTCTCCTGTCCCCCTTTCAGCCTGGTGGTGAGACTCACAGCATCCCCACAGCACTGCGAGCGGCTCAGGGACACGTCTGTGGTTTCAGTGCAGTGAACTCCTCTGCCTGCACCCTCCCACCCCTTTATCAGAGAGAAGGCAGCAGGCATGGCTGTGGAGCAGGTTTGCTGAAAACATTGCACTTCTCAGCATGGAGGGCTGGGGGGTGTCTGGAGCAGGGTCCTTTGACCAAGCACCTTCCAAAGCAAGCATACGGAGCTGAACTGGTGCAGCAGCTAACAGTGGCAGACGTTGCCCATGGCCAACACAAAGGCATTGCTCCATGGTCATGCAGCCACCCTGGGCCAGCTGGTGTTCCTTTGAGCTGCCAGCTCTGGCTGGATGAGGTCCAGCCCCAGATCCTGCCCCCATCCCACCTCCTCCAGCTCCAGGTCCAGGACCCCACTGCCTCTCCCAGAACTCATGGGGTTACCCCTGCAGATCTGCACTGCCACCAGTACACCCAATCTCCCTCACCTCACCCAGGGCCACCTCTGCGAGCCAACATTGTGCAGGCAGCTCCTGGGCACTGCGTTACAGCCCTTCCCTTCCACGCTGCCGTATTTGGCCTCTGCTAGAAGGCTCTTTGAGGCAGGAGCTTCTGCAACCAACTGCCCGTGATTCCCTTATTGCTACCCTAATGCTAGCAAAACGTTAAATAGCTGATTGCTAAGAACAGATAGAAAAGAACAAGGAGAACCCAAGGATATTAGGCCCTGCAAGAAGAGGACAAACTGCTTGCACAGAGCTGGTGCCTTCAGAGCCAGGACCCAGCAGCCCCAGGTCCTGCTCTTCTGCCTTGCCGTGGCACACACCGCTGTGGTTGCACCATCCAAGGGACACCGAGCCTGGCACACACCTTCCTCCCAGGGCTTCGGGGGGACTCGCACGGTGCTGAGCTCAGACTTTGCGTGGAGATAAATGCTGCCCTCCTGCAGGGAGCTGCAGCACTGGAAATCAAAGACGGGGGGCAGGGTGGTGGCAGATCTGGGCACTGTGCCCTGGGGCCCCACCCTGACACCGCGTCCCCTCCCTTGGGGTGCCAGGTCTGGGGGGGCCCCTCCCGGGACCCAGCCAATGGAGGGGTGCAGGGGGAAGAGGAGGGGCCCTGCGGAGCGTATAAAAGTGGGGTCGGGACAGCCGCTCGCCAGCGTGCGATCCCCGCGGGAGCAAGAGCCGAGACCTCCTCCGTACCTGCAGCCACACGCTACCCTCCGCCCGACACCATGGTGCACTGGACAGCCGAGGAGAAGCAGCTCATCACCGGCCTCTGGGGCAAGGTCAATGTGGCCGACTGTGGTGCTGAGGCCCTGGCCAGGTAGGTTCGGCTCCCGGGCATCGGCTCAGCTGCACCTGCATGGAGAAACCGCTGCAGTCACAGGAGGGAGCATTAATGGGGTGTGTGTGCTTCTCCCCCTTTCTCTCTGCAGGCTGCTGATCGTCTACCCCTGGACCCAGAGGTTCTTCGCCTCCTTCGGCAACCTGTCCAGCCCCACCGCCATCCTTGGCAACCCCATGGTCCGCGCCCATGGCAAGAAAGTGCTCACCTCCTTCGGAGATGCCGTGAAGAACCTGGACAACATCAAGAACACCTTCGCCCAGCTGTCCGAGCTGCACTGCGACAAGCTGCACGTGGACCCCGAGAACTTCAGGGTGAGCCACACTCCTGGCCAGGGCACCCATCCCCATGCATCTCCGTGGGGAGTTTCTCCCCGTGCCCCCAAGCCATGTCCCCAGTCCCACAGGTGGGGACTCCATGTAGATATGCCAGTGCTGGAGGAAGAGAAGCTGGTGGTCGAGGCGAGGGGCAGAACCGGGAGGAGAGGCAGGGAAGGGATCCACATGGAGCTTGGGGAGAAAGGATCAAAGGGGCTGAAGGGGCCATAGGGAGGGTGAAAGCAAGGATACGAGGGGGCAGGAAAAGCGGTGAGGAGGTGGCTGCAGTGCGGAAAGGGAGGGGGAGCGTAAAGTGAAAGCAGTTGTTGGAGCAGGAAGAGGTCTGAGCTCAGGGGAAAGCAAAGGAGCAAGAGTGAAACCTGGCGTGGAGGAGAAAGGAGAGAGGAGTGATGAGCAAGAGACAGTGGCTAGATGCCAACAGCCAAAGAGGAGTGGGGCATAGAGGGAGAGAGAAGTTTTGTTCCCGCATCTCTGCAGATGAGAGTCTCCCAGTGGGGTAGGAGACCCAGCACTTGTCACTGGGGCTGGCTGGGATCCCCCCATGCCAGTGGGAGCTTGCCCTTGGTGCCAGGGTGCTTTGCACGTGCCAGCTCCCTGCTGCTCAGCAGACGCTCGGCTCTGCCTCCTGCTCGGGAGAACTCCCAAATGAAGAGAGAAGGGAGAAAAAATTTATCAACAGAATTGTTGGAGAATTTTTGGTTACTCATCCCATACCAGTAGCAAGGGAAAGAAATATGGCCTGGGATCAGTGGTTGAGATGAAAAGCTTTGGAGTTAGTGGCCCAGACTTAACAGGGGCTGGTGCATTTCGTGTGTTGTACATTTTGTGATTTAGACTGAACAAGAGGATTAATGAGTTTTAGGTACATCTTTAAAAGAGCTGCAGTTTGCGGGGAGATTTTTAAGCCTACAAACGCCTGTAGGTTTCCCTGGGGCTGGTGCAAGTGTTGGTGCGGGGATCGGCAGTCTCCCGGGCACTGTTAACCAGGGGTGCTCATGTTCCCACAGCTCCTGGGTGACATCCTCATCATCGTCCTGGCCGCCCACTTCACCAAGGATTTCACTCCTGAATGCCAGGCTGCCTGGCAGAAGCTGGTCCGCGTGGTGGCCCACGCTCTGGCCCGCAAGTACCACTAAAGCGCTGGCAGCAACGCTCCCAGAACATCCTCCAGCTCATGTCATGCACCCGTGGAAATGCTCTGGAGCCGTCAGCTTGTAACAGCCCAATAAAGCTCATCCTGTGAAGGCCCCTCTGTCTGTGTGTCCCTGGGCGGCTGGAGGGGCTGGGGGCTCGGGCAGGGCAGGGCTTGGGTTTCGGGACGTGCTGGCTCCCTTGGCTCTCGGTGGTCTTCTGGGTGGTTTTGTGGGGTCTGCCTCTGGAAATCAGACTTAGAAACCTGTGTTCTGGGTGGGCACAGCCCTGCTGGCCTGGGCTTGTCCGCTGGGGAGGTTGCACTGGGGGAGATGTCTGTAGTTCACTGTGAAACCAGGGGGGTTTCTCACGAGCCCAGGGGAATGCAGAGGAACCGTATTTTTTTAGGGAGGATAAACAAAATGAAGACTTTAATCCTCCCCAGCCCATTTCTGGCATAAAGCCTACCAGAAATGAGCTGACTCATACTGGCCTAGCAGCCAGCTGGGTGGGGACAGGTTTGAGATAAACATTTTGCTATCAAGACCTGTCCAGACCTTGTTTATGCACTTCTTTTTCCCCCCATGCTGCCCATTCTGCCGTGCGGGTGGGGGCTGAGGGTGGAGAATCCTGCTAATAGTGGATAGCGGTGACTATTAATAATTTTCTGTTAGTGAAAATCAATCGATGCCTTGTATGTGCAAAGCTGTTTGAGTGTTTAAGCGTGCGCAGAGCAGGACTCCAGGGTAGAGATTGTTCTTTGCACGGGAAGCACTGTCCGTCCTGCTGGAGCTGAGCAGGAGGCAGCAAAAGCATCCACTAGCTGAAAGGACGCGATTGCTTTTAAAAGGGGATAAAGAACCCATAGCTGTATATCCCTGCATCTCTGACACCCCGTCTGCACTGTGCCCTGCTTCCTCACTGCTTCATCCGTGTCTGTGGGCATCCCCCTCTCCTGCCCCTGACCCGGTGGGCTTTAAAGCCCTCGGTGACCCATAAATCCCCTTCTCATGCACACTGCTCTGACAAAGGGGAGTGTTGTTGCTGGTGCCAGGGCTTACACTGAGAGCATGGGGAGATTCTTGTATTTAGTCAAAAAGTGCTAACTTCCTTGCAGGGTGTCTGGGGAGGCAAAGGGTGTGTGCCTTGTTCAGGTGACACAAAAACAAACGAACAAACAAACAAAAGAAAAACAACACACTCTTGTGATTTTTTTTCATAGATGTCATGGTAGATTTTCACAGACGTTCATATAAACACGATTCTTCACAGACTCCAGGAAGAAATGACTGAGTTGTTTCCACAAGTAGGTCTCCTCCTGCCTGGCAAACGCGGTGTCTGGGGCTGGACATGAGCCACTGGGGCCCCAGGCTGGACACTGCAGGAGAGCAGAGGGGGGCACCTCCTGCTGCTGGGGTCCCCTACCTGGGGTCCCCATCCCTGCATGCAGCCACACGGCAGCACAGGGACGGTGCCCACCAGTGGCTTCACTCCCTGGTCCTGGTGCCCCCACCAGACAGATCCCTTAGCACAATCCACATCCCATGAAAAACAGCAAAAAGGGGGCAAATTGTTCCAGGTGCCTTGGGACCAGGCTCACAGACCCTGTACTTTCAACACAGACTCTGGTTTTGGGGGTTTTGCCCAGAAAGTAAAGCAGGAGAGCCCCCCAGTGGAGGGGCATTGCTCCTGGGGAGGGTGCATCACCCCTTGTGCTCAGGGGGGTCACACCAGCCTCATCAGGGCAGGATCCAAAGGGAAATCCCCTGGCTGGGCATCCCTGAGCTGAGCTTTTGTCGCCTTTTGAACCTGCAGCAGATCCTTTGTTGGCAAACCTGGTGTTCAGAGAACATTTCACCTGACCTTTATGGGTGAGAACCAAAGCAGAACTCGGCTGAAAATAATGATCCTGTTTGATCTCTGCTCCCTGCACTGCCACATAGCACCTGGCTGGTCACAACCGAGGGGAGAGCACGGGGGTGAGCTTCTACCAGCTCCAACAGGAAAGCTAAAACTGAAAGGTCGAGTTCTGCTGCAGGAGGAGGACAGTGGGGTAAAAGCAGATTTCAGCTGCAAAGCCCCAGCACCCCCCGAGCCCTCCGAGCAGCTCCAGCCCTCCTGGTGGTGTGCAGGGCCTGGAGTCCTGCAGTGCAGGCATCCCTGCTCCTGCTGGGGGGCTGCTCTGACACTGGCTGCGTTTTGGCAGGGGCATTCATTGCTTGGCTGATGAAAACTAAGGCAGGACAGAGGCCAGTACTGGCAAAGCCAAGGCACAAGGTTCATGCCCCATGAGTCCCATGCACATGTTTTAAATGGAGATGGATTCCTGCGCAGCGACTTGTGCAGCCCTTTTTCTGCAAAAGGGCCCAGATCTGGGATGGGAACCGGTGACCTGACAGCAGGGGGGGGAAGGGACAAAGCCCTTGCACTGGGGATAACCCGAGGCCCCTTCTCCGTGTGCCACACCCCGGCTGTCCCCTCCTGCTCCCCTCCAGCGTGGACCCCCACCCATCCCCAGCCAATGGCCCCACAGCGTGGGGCGGGGAGGGGCTGCCGGCAGTGGATAAAAGCCCCCAGGGGTCTGCAGCTCCGCTACAAGGTCCGTGTCCTCCTGCAGCCACACGCTACCCTCCACCCGACACCATGGTGCACTGGTCAGCCGAGGAGAAGCAGCTCATCACCAGCATCTGGAGCAAGGTCAATGTGGAGGAATGTGGAGCTGAGGCTCTGGCCAGGTAGGTTCAGCTCCCGGGCATCGGCTCGGCTGCATCTGCATGGAGAAACTGCTGCAGGCATGTGGGGAATGCTAACGGGGTGTGTGTGTGCTCATGTCTCCCGTTCTCTCTGCAGGCTGCTGATCGTCTACCCCTGGACCCAGAGGTTCTTCTCTTCCTTTGGGAACCTGTCCAGCCCCACTGCCATCATCGGTAACCCCAAGGTCCGTGCCCATGGCAGGAAGGTGCTCAGTTCCTTTGGGGAAGCCGTGAAGAACCTGGACAACATCAAGAACACCTACGCCAAGCTGTCCGAGCTGCACTGTGAGAAGCTGCACGTGGACCCCGAGAACTTCAGGGTGAGATGTGTTTGCAGCCTGAGCCCTTCCCTGCGTAGTGCTTTGGTTCAAGGCTGGGGGGAATTGCTCCCCGCAGTGCTGCCTGGGTTATGTTCTGTGGCTGGTGGAGGCAGAGTCCCCGCGTAGTGTCCAAGCAAGACAACACGTGTGGAACTGCTTGCAAGACACTGGGTGACTTTCGGGCTAAATAGTCCCATTTTTTGTGTCAGTGCAGGAATGGGGAGGAGAAAGGATTGAGAGATTGTAACCTAAAGGAAGCACTTGGGCTGAGGATATAAAAAAAACAAACCCAAAGGAAGGTGCAGCATAGGTGGTGGAATTAGAGGTGGAGAGATGCTGAACAGAGTGTTTAAGGAAATCGTAGGTCCTATAGAAAGATATGCAGCTAATCTGCCCTAAAGTAATAGAGCAGATCTCTGGCTTGTCCAGCACGGGCTCTGATTGGGATGGGCACTCTCTCCTCCCCTAACACTTATAAGTAAAAATAGATTAATTTATTCATTTACATGTAAAGAAAAAAAAATACAAGCAGCACTTGGCAGGGTGGGTGTCAGGCCAAGCTGCTTTAGCACCCCAAGGCAGGAGGAAAACAGTTTCAGGGCTTTTTCCCCACCCACCTCCCTTTTCTTTTTAGAATGAAGCAATTTCTTTCTCCAAACCCAGGGCTTTCTGTGGAAAGACAGAATTTTGTCCCTGCAGCCCCAGGGAGCAGGCACTGAGCCACACCACACAGCCCAGAGGCTGTTCAGGGTGGGAAGGGGGGCGTGCAGCAGCGGCTGTCCTTGCAGGGGGGCTTCAGCCTCGGGGAGAAGAGACCCCTGGGCTGGTGTGGGGATGCTCCATGGCCCGCTGCGATTCAAGCAGTGCTAACCCTGCCTGTCCTCCACTTTCTCCTCCAGCTCCTCGGAGACATCCTGATCATCGTCCTGGCCGCCCACTTCGCCAGGGATTTCACCCCCGCTTGCCAGTTTGCCTGGCAAAAGCTGGTCAGCGTCGTGGCTCACGCGCTGGCCCGCAAGTACCACTGAGCCTGCCGGCACCGGCCGGGGAAGGACCCCGCCGCACCCAGCACCCCTGGGTGCCAGCTGGCTGTAACCCCCAATAAACACCTCAAATGTCTGCAGTCTGCCTGTCTGTGCTGGGAGGGCTGCCAAACGCACGGCTGCCGCAGGGGTGTGCTTCGTGCAGCTCAGGGCTGCTGCGGACGCGTTTCCATAACTCTGGAATGCGCCCTGATGTGCGCACCCTGACAGTGCACATGGGCTGGGAGGGGAAAACCCACTGCTGGCAAGGGGCCCTGGCACTGGCAGTGTGTCAGTGAGGGCTGCAGGAATATCTGGGGATTGCAAGGAATCCGTGCCTGTGCTCCCGACACCAGGTTCATGGGAAATGAGGTGAAGCCACACGGAGCCCACAGCTCCCAGCCGAGCTGTGGCTGTTCAGCACCTGCTGTCCCCTTTTTAGGGTACTGGTGCTGCCTTGCCTGCTCCCCCTGCCTGGAATTTGCCACCTCCCTGCAGAGCAGATGGTGCAATGCAAGTGTGGAAACCACTGGACTCAGACTGCTGGGAGGCTCATGTTGTCTGGCCCCGCAGGAGACACTGGTCCCCCACGGGGGATTTGTAATGCCAAGGCACAAGGCATTCATTCCCAGGGGCTCCCAGTCCCCTCTCCAGACGGAGGGAGTTCAGTCCCCACCAGCACCCTGCAAACAAAACCCACTGCATAAAGGGTGCCCAGGCTTTGCCTGGTGCTCCTTCCCCCATCCACTGGAGCTGGACTGTGGGTCAGGCTAGGTGGTTTGCTCATTGGGATGTGGGTGAAAAGATCAATTTTCACAAGCTATTTTGTTAACCAAAGTGGGGAAAAAAAAAATAAAAGTGTCCAGGGCTCTGTTTATCTCACTCCTACATCTTGCCTTAAACCAAGACTGGAAACTCCTTGAATACAGGGGCTGATACCCAGAGTTGTTCACAGATGCTAACACAGCTGAGTCATGGCTGTGATAGACATTTCTGGAGTTAGCAGGGAGGATATGGTTGGTTTGGGTCATTATCTCTCAAAGGCATGACTTACCATCACCTGGATTCAGCAGGCTTCTCCTCTGCACTTGACCTGCAGATTTCTGTGCAGAAAATAACGTGCCTCTGTGGCAGCGTGGGCTCTGCACCACCCTGGTCTGAGCCCTGAACTGGCCCAGGGACTGGACCAGAGACCGCCAGAGACCCTCCCCACTTGCATTGTCCTGGGGTTCTGCACTTGGAGTGTGCAGGATGCTTGCTTCCCTTTACTCACCTCTGGATTGCTTTGAAGGGTTCCATAAAGAAATGAGCTGAAGGTGCCTTTGCAAATCTGCTTTGTCCAGATGCTGTAAAGGACAGGATTCACGAGGAGTGGGCGGAGGATGTAGGTGTTGCCCATCACGGTGTGAAAGATGAGGGTACCTCTTTCCCAAAACTGTGCAGGACGGACAAGACAAGCATCGATGCTGCTGAGTGCTCTGTGGAGGGCAGCCAGGTCATGGTGGGATGAACGCATGGGAGGTGGGTCAGTGGGGGCAGAGGGCTGTCAGCCATCAGCCCCTCCAGGGACATGGCAAAGAGTGCTGCTGACCCCAGGAAGGCGAGGGAGCAGGTAAGGAGGAGCTGAGCCATGCAGGGCATAGCTTAATCTACATGAGCCTCCTAGGACCACAGGAGCAGCAATCTGCACAGCCCAGGTTTGGTACAAGTCTTGTTTTAAAAGTGATGGAAAACCCCCGAGTCCCTAAGAATTACACCATGCAGCACTGAATTGATGGGAAATTCTTCTCGTCCTCACTAGCAGGTTGATGGATCGTTCTCCTCTATCATAGCAGCTTCCCTCAAACCTGAGACAGCGCTGCAGACCTTTGATGAATGGGCACACCATGGTGCTTTGGACAGAAAGTGAGGGAATTTCCACAATGACAGCACAGATTAACAACTGAATAGATTGCATGAGAGGAATGTTAAAATTGGTTGGAAAAGGGATTAGGAAATAATGTTAAACTATATAAATCAGAAAACAGTTCTGAACAGAGGTTGCAATCTCTGCTCTTCCTCAGCCATCAGAAGATGTCACCTCTCCTGGAGCTGCCCTCCCGCAGACCCACTGTGAAAAAAGGTCACACAGGTTTGCACATGGGTGGATGGAAGATAAAGCTTCTTATTTAGCTCATAATAGACCTCATGTGCAGTTTTTTCAGGTGGTAAGGGAAAGAATTAGTCAAATATCCATGCTAGGATAATTAATAGAGTCACTGCAATGAAAAATGTGGTGGGTTTTATGCTTATGAGAGAAGCATTTGTGTTTTCTCTACAGGGATATTCCTGCTAACAGCTGTGACATATTGCCTGTATACTTGTAATAAACTCCTACAAATTTGTGCTTGAAGATATACGAAACTGATCAAACACCAGAGCCTTTTATGGAATCCTTATCCAAAGTTTGTGTCAGTCTACGGAGCAGTTTACCAGAGGACTATCAGCAGAGGATTATCAGGTATAATTATTTTTATCTGTTATGATGCCCACACTCACCACTATAACAGGAGCAGGAAAAAAATTATCTTTTGGCATAAGCCAAAAATACTCTTAAAGTGACTCTATGCTGCCCCTGCTGGGGTTTTATATATATTGAAGCACGATTTTATGCCTCCGGAGGGAATTCTCTGTCAGGAGCGTCAGCATAACAGAGCATTTCAGCAGACAGGTCTCACAGCTGTCAAGATTTGAATATAATCTTAACAAAATTCAGCCATCCCTGTGGCATATTTGTTGTGTTTTCCCACACAACTTGAAACGAGGATGAATGGTGAAGTACTCGTTCTTATTTTGCAAAAGATGCTTATTGCTTTTGAGTGGTAAATAAAGATGTTGTTCTCTCCTAAGCAACAGCACGGGAACACCCGAGCTACCTGATGGCTCTGTGCTCCTGCAGAAGCTGTTTCTGCTAGTTTTGTACACTGAATTTTTGGCACAGAGACATTATGGCAGAGAATATCTCTCAGTAAATCAAGGGGGATCGTTTTCAGACTGCCCAGCCCACAGGAGAGGGCTGGAATCGATGAGGCCCCCATCAAGTGCTGTGGGTGAGTCTGGAGGGAGCAGGCTGGCTTTGCTGCCAGGTTGTGCAAGGGCTGGCTGGAAACAGGACCACAACTTTTTTTCCTGTATCACCAGCAAAATCTGATGTTTGAGAAATAAGATTTATATATGAAGAGATTTTTGATCGATCCCCTTGGTAACTTCGGAGAAATGAAGGTTTGAAACTCCAGAATGACTTATCTTGGCTGCTCTGCCTCATCTTTCCTTTTTTTTTCTACCGTCTCTCCTCCCACCTCTGTTCAGTGCCCTTCCAGCCCAAATTCTCTTCTGTAAGAGGATTAGACACATGCTCATTTTCCATTCCAGACCTGAACTGATGTGGATAAAGCTTCTGAGATGATGAAGCAGGAGTTTCTCTTCCATATCCCAAGGATTCCTAGGGCCAGAAGGGCACAGGTTTTTAGTAGCTGGTAAAAAGCAAACTCACAAACTATTATTTAAAAAAAAAAAAAAATCTTTAATGTTTTTGTTATTAGTATTATTATTATTTTATTTTTAACTTTTACTCCTTTTGGCAGCCTATTAACATGTCTCCCTCAACCTTTCTTTGTCCAGGCTATGTAACTGCTTCCTGTGCAGAAAAGCCCCTGTGCTCGGCCCCACAGAAATGAAGAACTCCTGCACTAGGGACACATATTCACTATGCAGTGAAAAAACACTGGGAAGTTAATGTGATTTGGATGTCCCCACACCATCAAACTTGAGCAGCTGACAGGGGCTGGAGAAGCACCGCCTTTGTCCATGCAGCAGAGACATGAGAATGAGATGAGGAAAGCCCAGTCCCCAGGAAGTGAAGTCTTGGCAGGTATGTGTACGTTTTTCCAGGGGAACGAAAATCTAAAGATGCCCTCTTTTACCCCAAATTCAGTGAAGAAATCTAAGCAGTGTTCCCAGAGAGTCATGCCCCTATCTCGTCTGCCAACCAGACCTGGTTGGCAGGTGCAGAGCAGCAGTTTCACCCTAGAGCCACACTTACACTTGGGGCAAATAAATGACTTTTTTCAATGTTTAGGGTTTTAAAAAGTCATCTTAAAAAGGAAGAAAAAATAGTGAAAAAAATTGCTTTTTTATTATAATTTATTGTTTAGACCAGCATTTCCTAAGCAATTAGGATCCTTGTGTTTGCTCTTGCAGCATTTATCCCTGTGCTGCTCCTCGGGTGGTAGCAGCCTGAGGTACTAAAGGGAGTACCATCACCATCCTGGGCTGCATTTTATGGCCTCAGCCCCTGTAGTAGGTCCCAGGTGACTCCCACTGCTGCTGAGATTCCACATGGGTATTTATAAAAACAGACAGCTTCTTCCACATGTGCAGTACTCAGGCAGGAGTGTGATTCCCTCTCCCTCTGCCTCTTGTGCCTAAGGACCTCGGCCAAGCAGAGGTAAGGGCATCTGAGGCTGCCATGTGTTTCCATGTCAATCTCAGTTCATTACCAATGTTTTCATTTTGTAAGTGTCATTTTCTGTTCAGATTTTGTAATCAGGGAAACAAAGCTACCAGAGATAACTTTGTTTCACAGTTGGCTTGCTTATCTCTTATTGCACTTTCCTGCAGCTGTTTCATGCTCTCCATCCATCCATCCATCCATCCATCCATCCATCCATCCATCCATCCATCCATCCATCCATCCATCCATCCATCCATCCATCCATCCATCCACCCCCTTCAAACCCATCACCTAGCCACCCAGGCAGCTATTGCCAGCACAGCCTTGACTGCCTCTCCATCCATTCACACGCATTTTCATCACCTCTTCCCACTGCACTGTCTCCTCTCTGTGTTCTCCACTGCTCATGTGCCTCTTGCCATGTCACAGGGACACTGCAGGGGTGCAGGGGCAAGATATCCACTAGAAGAGGGAGCAAACATTTCTGCAGAGAGTATCCAGTGATATAATTGCATATTTCAGACAGGGCTAGAGGCTATGAAACCAAATGCTGAGAACTGCTTTTTCATGGGTCTTGCACAAACCACAGATTATGTCCCATCTGCTGATGGGACAATGTCTTGGTCCTGCCCCTGAAGCGGCTGGTGCTGAGCACGCTTGGAGATGGAATAAGGCAGCAAGTGAAACAGCTTCTCTGCTCCTGGCTTACAGGGAGCCTGGCAGATGGTGCTGCGAGGCACGGCTGGGCAAGGATTACTCGCTGTCGACAGGCTCCACGTTCATCCTCCTGGGCAGGGGCTGAGCATCCAGCAGAGCCAGAGCACCCACGCCTCCCTCAGAGCACTGAGCTGCATGGTGGAAATTCATTCCAGTGCACAGGCATGGCTCGTGTGTCTCACCAAGGACAGAAATAAAAGGAGGGTGGGAGGAGCAGACGAGGGATATTCCTTCCTCAGCCTCAGCATGGAGTAGTCAGGCTGAACAGGGTGAAGCTGGAGGGACACGGGGGGGGGAGAGGATGGGATGCCCAGGCTCTGGGGTGGTCTGCACCTCTGTGGATGGAGGACTGGTCCCCAGCACAGAAGTCCCCCTCTGTGCTGTGATGCTAGCTGGTAAGGAAAGCCATTCTTTTTGCAGTTTTATTAATATTCTCTCAGGCAAGAGCACTTGATGATACACGGAGTGAGAAGCATAACCTTTTTTTTTTTTTTTTCCTGGTAGTCTGAAGCACATTTACAGATTATGAAGATGAGGAACTTGTTCAGGTCTGAAAACCAAAATTCAAGTACCTAAATCTGTATTTTCATGTTGAAGATAACTAGAGCACCCTGGAAAGCTGTCTGCTAATTGAGCTTATCAAGCTAATTATTTAGCTGGCAAAGTAAAGAGTGGAGGCACAGATGTCTGGAGCTTTGTCTGAGAAGTGGGGCAGTTGGCAATAGACTAATTCCATTTTTCATGGCACATTAATGAATTTAGCCACATGCCCTCCAATTAAACAATGCCGTGTTCCTTGTTTACATAGGCAGATGGAGTGTGAATTCCTTGAGTGCTGAGTGCTGGAAAAGTTTGACTTCTTCCTCGTCGGCTGTTGCAGCCCCTGAAAAGAGCAGCAGACAAACCAATCAAAGCATCTGCATAGGCTGGAAGAATGTTTTACAGCGTTTTGTTTTACCTGCAGCTCCAAAAGGTGCAGACCCTGTAGCCTGAGTTTAAGCCCTTTCAGCACTGCACTGCTTTTGTGAGTTGTGCTTCACAGAGCTCTGCATTTCCCCGAGGAATCTGTGGGCTGTGGCTCGGAAGCACTGTGCTGACAGCTCTGCAGCAGAAGAGAGCTCTCTTTGAGGGAGCATTGCTTAATCCTACCCATAACTAGCTGTAAAAACAACATTCCTGCTAAGAACTACAGTTTCTGTGTATATTACTAACACACACATCAGCTGAAATACCCGTCACTCTGAGTAGCTTGATGGGCTGTCACTGAGAGCTGCAGTAATGACAACAAAGACTAGAATAGTAAATAGTCTCTGAAGCGAAGGGAAATGGTAATGTTCTAAATTCACCAGTGCCGAACCAAAGTTAGACTTAAGGGAGTGACCATGTCCCCTTGGGGGTCAGAGCGGGTGACAGATGAATTTCAGTAATTGCTCCCATTTCTGTACCTCCCAGAAATGGGGGTGAAGGACTCCCAGAAGCACCGAATGCTTTGGGTTGGAAGGGGCCTTACAGCCCACCCAGTCCCCGCCATGGGCAGGGGCCCCTCCTGCCTGCCCAGGCTGCCCAAACCCCATCCAGCCTGGCCTTGAACTTAATGCAGGAGCCCAGCCCCCTCCTGCCAAGTGCCGTACAGCCATAAAACAGAGGAAATTGCAGCCTTTCCCCTTCCCCTTCAGCTTACAGGTGGGATGAGGATCGTGAAGGGTGCAGGGTGGAGGACAGGAGGACAAGCAAACTGCGTCTGCCACGAGCTCTGCCGTGGTGAAAGCTCAGCAGTGGGGTGGGGGCAGCAGCAGGGGTTTGCAGGGAGCTGCAGGCAGGGCATCCTGCACTGGATGAAGGGCAGAAATCCGATAACCCAGCAAGCTGAGGGAGCTGGCTGGGCAGGCATACCTGTGCACAGGGACAGGCAGCGGGCTGGGGACACAGACAGCACCCTGCGTGGAGCAGCACGGGGTGAGCAGTGTGAGCCAGGGACTGAGCATGGGGGTATAAAAAGGGCTGGGGGACTGGGGGAGGCCACAGACAGCCTGCTCACCCCACACAGAGAGCCCCAGAGGGACCTGGAGAGTGGGGTCTGTGTGCCTGGGTAGGACGGCTGTGTGGCCTGGAGACTGGGAGGAGAGGCTGCAGCAATGTCCTGGGAGGGATGTCCTGGTGCGACAAATAATGTTATCTCCTGTACAGGTGAGGAGCCTGGGGGAAGCAGGAACAAGGGCTGTGCCAGCACTGCCACATGCTAATCGCTGCTCTAGCACATCTTCAAGGAAGAGAGAAGAAATGAGATCTTCACGACAATCCCTCACGCTGTGTCTGGCCAGTGGTTTGTCCTCATTGCTCTGTGAAATCTAAACCTGCTCCACCTTTGAGTCGTTTATGGGAAAGGGTCCCGTGGCCCATGCCCAGGGCGAGCATGTCCCCGGGGAACAGCAGCCATGTCCTGGCTTTCCTGCTGGCAGGCATCCCTGGGATGGCTCGTTTCCACCGCTGGGTTTTCATTCCTTTTGGTCTGATGTATCTGATTGCAATGCTGGGAAATGGCATCATCCTGCTGGTTGTGAGAGCCCATCACAGCCTCCACGAGCCCATGTACTATTTCCTTTCGATGCTGGCCACCACAGACCTGGGCCTGACTCTGTCCACCCTGCCCACCGTGCTGTGTGTCTTTTGGTTCCGCTCCAGAGAGATCAGCTTCCCCGTCTGCCTCGCCCAGATGTTCTTCATCCACGCCTTCTCCTTCATGGAGTCCTCAGTGCTTCTGGCCATGGCCTTTGATCGCTACGTGGCCGTCTGCTTCCCGCTGAGGTACTCCTCCATCCTCACTGGGGCCAGGATTGCGAAGATCGGGCTGGGGATCGTTGCCCGATGCACTCTGGCACTGCTTCCATTAATCTGCCTTCTTACACGGCTGCCTTTCTGCAGGTCCCATGTGCTTTCTCACCCCTATTGCCTGCACCAGGACATGATACAGCTGGCATGCACAGATGCCACCTTGAACAGCCTCTATGGCTTAACCCTGGTGTCGATGGTGATCCTAGACTCGCTGCTCATCGCCTTCTCCTACGCCATGATCATTAGGGCCGTGCTGGGCATCACCTCCAGAGAGGAGCAGGCCCGAGCCCTCAACACTTGTGTCGCTCACTTCTGTGCTGTCCTCATCTTCTACATCCCTTTGGCTGGCCTCTCCATTATACACCGGTACGGGAAGAACGCTGCACCCATTAGCCACACTCTCATGGCCAATGTCTACCTTTTTGTCCCCCCTGTGTTGAACCCCATTCTCTACAGCATGAAAAACAAGGCCATTCGCAGGGGCCTCCTCAGGCTCCTGTGTCGAAGAGCGGCCTGGCCTGGCCATGGCTGGAGGCGTTAAGAGGGACATTTGCTCACACAAAATGCCCAGAAAAAGTGCCAGGTCAAACATAAGAAGGATTTAAGAGAACTTAAATGTAGCGGGAAGAGCACCTTGCAAATAATGCTGACAGCTGAATGCTGAATGCTTCCACAGCAGGAATTCAGCTGGGAAGTGGGTTGACTGCTTGGTGACCAAGGTGGGCTTCATAGCAGGTGGCTCAGAAGCTCTAGATTAGTTTGAAAGTGGCATGGAGGAGAGATTACACCAAATAAGTATCAGTGAATTATCCTCCCAGGACCAGGTGTTGCTCACCTGAATCCAGAAGGAACTTGGATGTGAAACTGCAGAACTGCCGGGCAGGGTGCGTGACTATTTCAAATGGCCATGATGCTGGAGAACGGGCAATGATCCCTTTTAATCTACCTGCATAAAGGGGCTTCACCGGGTTCCTGAGACCTACTGACTGGGGGAGGCAATTTCTGTTCCTGGCTGGGATAAAGAATAAGATCATTAAGCATATTGGTAAACACATCTGAGTGAAAATCTTGCAGAATCAGCCAGGCTGATACAATGGGAAATCCTCCCACAGCATCCAGGCTTCTGTGAGGGTTGCTCCAGCTGGAGGGATCTCATGGACATAATGCACCTGGATGTCCCCCAAAACTTTGACTAAATAAAATTGCAAGGGAAGTGGAAGAAACCCTCTTCTGTGGGAACCTGATTAAATTAGAGGTTCATTATTTTCAGCCCAGAGAAGAGTCAGCAATGGCTTTCCCAAAGGATGCCTCCTAGGGCTCATTTTATTCTACATTTTCATCATCCTGGACAAAGAAGTGCACAGTGAATGTTCAAAGCTTGCAAATGACACAAGGTCAGCCACTGCACTGATACAGTTTTCTGTGTTTTTATAATATTGTTTAGACTTCCATTGCAATAGCAATAAATTTGGGGCTCCATGTAGGTGTGCTTCCTCTGTAGGCAGGATCTTCTGGGGTGAAACCCACCCCAACTGTCTGCCTTAGGGTGATCTGACTTACTGACCAGGCTTGTCCTGATTAGTTTCCCTCCTGTGTAACCGTGCACATGGAGGCACCCAGAGACTCAGGAGCTGGCTCTCCTGCTGCAGTAATGCAGATGGGATGGTGCAGCACCCCATTGTGGGCTGGGTATGGGGAAGGGAAGCGTCTGGTGACTTCCAGCTCCAGCAGCACGAGTCACAGCTGTTGGACACGTCCTGGCCCTGCTGGAAGTATCACCTGGCCGGAGCTGAGTGCTTGGCCAGACACGCAGGTCCTTAGATCTTCACAGCCCCATCCTAGCAGGTCTGGCCACAGGTGTAAAAATCTTGCATAAACAACTATTGCACACATGTAGATCTATACTCTAATGCACACAGAGATGGCTGAGCACACCTGGGAAGCATTAAAAGTTACCCGCATGTGCTTCAGGACAGCTGCAGCTGACCCAGTGTCATAGAGAACACCAGAAACCCTCACCCTACACCTCCCCTGCTACGTCCTGCTTGTCCAAAGGGAAGTCCCATTAGCTTAGGAGCCTCAGGCAGTCACAGCTCCTGCATTGTCGACCAGGAGTGGGATAAATGTATGGAAGGCTGTAGATACAGCAGCACTCCTCTGTGCAGCAGGGAGAGTGGTGGGGGCCTACAAACAGGGTGCACCTCCCCTGCTACATAAAGAGTTCAAAGGATCACAGTTCTCAACAGACAAACAGGTGACAGGATGGATGTGGGGGTTTTACCTTGCTAGACAGCTGAGCTCCACCACAACCACTCTCTCACTGCCCCTCCTTGGAAGAGGAGGGGAAGAAGAAAAGGAAAGAAACAACTCATGGGTCGAGATAAGGATAATTTAATTAAAAGAAAAATAATTATATGAGGAAAATTATTATTAATAATAATACTAAAGGGAAGAGGAAAAGGGGAAAATGGGAAAAAAACAATAAGCAAAGACAATGTGGAAGCACAGAGGAAAGAAATTCCTCTCTCCTTCCCCCCACCGAGCGATGCTTGACCCTGTCCTTGCAGCAGGGCCTCAAGGCACGCAGCCTGTGTCGGGAGAACAGACATTTTCACAACAAGAGCACCCCTCCCACATCCCCCCTTCTTCTTTTTCCCACCTCTTATTGCCGAGTGTGACACCACAGGGCATGGGACATCCCTTTGGTGGTTTAGGTCGGCTGCCTGGTGCTGTCCCCTCCCCAGCCCTGCTGGCTCTGGGGGTCGGAGGAGCCCTGGTGCGGTGCCAGCACTGCTCAGCAGCAGGCACAGCAGCGCTGGGACACCAGGGCTGTGCCACTGCACGTGCAGGACACGGCGCTGCGTGGCTGCTGCAGGGAGCAGAACTCCAGCACGGCCAGGCCCAGCACAATGGAGGTACCCAAACTATTATTCACCAGGTGCTCTAACATGCACAAAACCTTGTGTCGTCTCTGTATGACATCAGTGCCTTCTTGTAGGGAGGAATTTGTGTGTATCTCTAAGAAACGGTTTAGTTTTTACACTGTAAATAATGAGATCTAGTACAGGAAGTACAAGGAGTACTACAAGGAGTAGATATTGGCCATGAACACATGAACCAGAGGAGAGGCGTGGTTCCCAAACCTCCACACAGCAGACAAGCCAATCATCAGGATATAATAATGAGGGTGATGCTACCACTTCACTGGGCAACCCGTCCCAATGCCTGACCGCTATTTCTTAGAATAAACGTCTCCTCATGTCCAACCTGAGCCTCCACTGGCACAGCTTGAGTGATCCAACACTTGGGACCAGAGAACAGAGGGCAGTAAGCACCATTTTTCCTTCCCTTCCCTTCCCTTCCCTTCCCTTCCCTTCCCTTCCCTTCCCTTCCCTTCCCTTCCCTTCCCTTCCCTTCCCTTCCCTTCCCTTCCCTTCCCTTCCCTTCCCTTCCCTTCCCTTCCCTTCCCTTCCCTTCCCTTCCCTTCCCTTCCCTTCCCTTCCCTTCCCTTCCCTTCCCTTCCCTTCCCTTCCCTTCCCTTCCCTTCCCTTCCCTTCCCTTCCCTTCCCTTCCCTTCCCTTCCCTGAACAAATATGCAGATTTGGTGATCTTTCCCTTCCCTAAAAGTTAATTTGGCAGCAAAGACTCGATATGCGTGCCTTTGCACCAGATTGTGCTGCAACATTTGGCAGGATCCAGGCATTCACCAGCTGTGAACATCTGCTAGCCTGAGAGCAAAAGGTTTTGGACATGGATGTTCTTACATGTAGAAGAGCAAATGCTATTTTATGGTATAAATGAAGTAAACAATGAACAAACCATGAGCTGGTAGCCCTGTGGTGCACAGGAAACATTTCTGGGTGCTGGAAAAAGAAGATTTCAGTCCCACTTGCCCACCTTGCCAAGCTGTAACGCAGGCAAGGATTGTTCTTCCCTACAGGTCATTTTCCCTCACCTGGGTACAGGTGTCTGCAGGGCAGCTCTCAGCATCTCAGCTGGTTGTCTGGACCCCACAGCCACCAGGGGGACAGGCACTGCTAGAAGGCAGTTCACCTTACCCCGATGTCTGCCCCAGTCTGCCCCAGTCACCACGAATTCATTACATGTGCATCTTCCCCTCGAAGTAACATCCACTATAACACATACTACAACAGCACTAACAAATTTATGAGGAATTATCTAACAGATGACATAGGAAAAGCAGCCCAGAAAAAGCAGATAACTTTTGCCTTAAATATGGAGCAATCCCCAAATATGACCTCTCTGAGCATCTTGCCTCCAGGCTTCCAATGAATGAATATTTATACTGCTGCTTTCCAAAATCCCATGGGACTCTCACAGATTTATTGGGCACATCTGTTTTTTTGTTTGATTGATTGATTGTTTGATTTTCTGGTCCACTGTCCCAAAGGAAATGATGCAACATGCTGGTAACAGTGAAAACCAGTGTCAGGTCAGAGACTAGCACAGAACTGCCTTGGGTTAACACCAGCAGCTAAACAGGACTAGAAACTAGGTATGCAGTTAAAGCAGGACTTGAACGTGGTGTTCAAGAAACAGGAGGAAATGTTCCTGGAATACCCTCTGTGGGAGTAGGGAAATGTGAAAACAAGAGGAGAGAGTGAAGGTGGGAAAACCTCCCTCCCTGGGCAGCTGTGTCCTCAGGCACCTCCGACAGGAGGTCAGCCTCCTGAAAGCCCCGAGCTGCCATCCCACATGTTCGGGTTTGGATTCCTTCAGTAGTGGGACCATTTTTCACCTTGGGGTTTCACAGCACCACCCCAAAGCCGTGCTGTCCCATGAAAGTGTGCTTGGGTCCCTGGTTTTGGGACAGCCCCCCACATCTGTGATCTCTCCCACCACTCTCTCCAGACAGCCTGCAGGAAGAGCTGACTGCAGGGCACTCCTGTCCCCTCTCGCCCCGTCCCTACTGCACAGTGATCCAGATTTCTCTGCCAACTCTACTTATTTTCAGAGAAGGAATCCTAGAGTCGTAGCCTAAGCTGTTGTTGCTATCTGATGTTATGTGATGGTGACAGCTTGTATGTACACATCTTGTAGGGTGCAAGGAGCTAGATAAGTCTGCCAGCCACCTTTACACGTATCTGATCAACAAAGGTCCCCTGCTGTAATTTCACACCTCTCCCACTGCCACCAGAGGGGACAGTACAGTCTGAGATAGGGGCATGAACATGAAAATATTTTTTCACATTTTTTGTGTGTCCTGCAGAAAAATGGGGGTTGTGCCTCACCAGGGTGGTTGCGGGTGGGGATCAATCCACCAGACATGGTGCAGCCCTGCTTTATCACGAGTGCTCTGAGACTGGCTCGTAGACAAACTGCAGTCGTGTCTCTGCCCCTCTGCCTTGCCCTGCCCATTTCCTCTGGTCTGTGAACCTCTGCTTTTGTTTAGTCAGAAGGAAAAGAATGAACTGAGTTGTAATTTAATTGAAATTACATGCATTTTACATGTAATTTACATGCAATTTACAGGTGTTTTACATTAAATTACATGTATTACAATGTATTTTACTGAAATGGAGTTGACAATATTTCTTTCCCATCTTGTCTGCAGCCTGACATCTGCCTCGCTTCAGCAAAAATGTATTTTCTCTTCCTAGCACCCCTCCTCTCCACTGGTACCAGCTCACAGAGAGAGAGCAGGGACCATGGCGGGGGCAGCCACAACAGCCAGGACTGCCAGGGATAGTAGAGAGCCCCAAGAAATGCCAGGCCAGGTCAGAGATCTCCTTTCCATCCAACAGTGCTCTTCAGTTCACACTAAACATACAGCAAATGTCTGTAACATGTGACTTGAGTTTAGGTCGCCTTCTGACCTTCGCTGCATTCTGCTTTGTACCTTTCTCACCTGTGCGGCAGTGATTTTGTAAAGCATGCTGACCTGCTTACTGGGGTGCTTGACGTGGTCTTGTGCAATCCCGTCAGCAATGATCTCCCTGTGAAAAGTCACTCCAAATAATTTCATCAGTGAGAAATTCTGATATTTTTTAAAGGGTTTATGTTTACATAGAACATTTGGAATTTGCTAGTATAGAATTATTTTCATTTTTCCTTCTTTAAAAAAAAAAAAAAAAAAGGATAGTGCTTAAAATTAAATTCTACCCATTTCCTTCTGCAAGGACAGTCATCATTCCCATCTGAGCACGTTCCCATCACACAGTCCAGGGAATACTCTTCATATAATGAGAACTGCTGCAGGAAGGTCTTTTGGTGATACTGACTGCTAGCAGTCAGACTGGAAGTGTTTTAATTGTGAGAAAAAAGATTTCCTGAACAGTGAGAGTTTTAACAGCAAGGAGTCTGACTTCTGGGAGGGGTGAACTCTCCATTTCCCAGCAGGTAAAAAGCTGAATGCCTTTATGCCAAGTTTCATGGCACAGTGAGTGAAACCCTGCAGAATGTTAATGGAAGTGATAACCTGGTGATTTCTTCAAGAGTACACTCTGTCATCGAGGAAGGTTTCTTTGTGAACAAAGAGCCACCACATTAACTTGCTAAATTTACCAGGGTCATCAGTAAATTATGAGCACAGCTTCCAGTCCACAGATACAGCTCAGGCTCCCTTCTGCTGGAAGAGGAGGACCATCTTTTCACAGAGCTGCTTGGTTCGCACACCGTAAATGATGGGGTTTAACATGGGGGGCACCAGCAGGTAGAGATTGGCCACCATTATATGGACATGGGGAGGGACGCTCTGCCCAAAGCGGTGGGTGAGGAACGTGAAGAGGGCAGGGACATAAAACGCAAGGATGACACAGGCATGGGATGCACAAGTGCTAACGGCCTTGAGCTGTGTGTCCGTGGATGACAGTCTCATTACCACCCGCAGGATCATCGTGTAGGACACAAAGATCAGGACTATATCAAATCCTGTCACTACAAAAGCCACAAAGAGGCCGTAAATGACATTGACTCTGGTGTCCCCGCACGCCAGCTTCACCACGGCCATATGCTCGCAGTAGGAATGGGAGATAACATGATGCTGGCAGAAGGACAGCCTGTGGAGCAGGAAGCAGAAGGGACTCACCAGAAGCACCCCGCGCACCAGCACCAGGATCCCAAGGGCCACCACCACCCGCATGGAGAGGATGCTGGAGTGCCGCAGGGGGTAGCAAATGGCGAAATAGCGATCCAAGGCCATGGCCATGAGCACGCCTGACTCCACCGACGAGAAGGTGTGGATGAAGAACAACTGAGCAAGACAGGAAAGAAACCCAATCTCCCTGGAGCCAAGCCAGAAGATGCCAAGCATTTTGGGAAGCGTGGATGTAGAGAGGACCAAGTCAGTGAAGGCCAGCATGGCCAGGAAGAGGTACATGGGCTCATGCAGGCTTGGCTCTGTCTTTATAATGATGAGAAGGGTGATGTTCCCCAGCACAGCAATGGTATACATGATGCAGAAGGGAAAGGCAATCCAGAACTGCTCCTTCTCCAGCCCAGGAATGCCAGCCAGGAGGAAAGTAGGAGGATGGAAGGGGGTGGTAAAGTTTAGGGAAGACATGAAACCCCTCTTGTCTCTTGCTTACAGTGAGGGTTCTTACATCCTGTAAAAAAGCATCAAACACCCTCAAGCTGATTTGGCTGGTACAAAATACAGACTGCAGTGATAGGCACTAGAGAGCCAGCCCTATGACAGCTGCTTGCACTGGCTCAGAACAACTCAACACAAGTGTCCTGCCAGTTTCCACTTAAATTCTCTGTCCCATTTCATGGAGTGGGCTTGGGCATTCTTCCTGCATTAAACTGAGCTGGAAGAGGGCTCACCTGATACTCCCCCATTTCCAAAGGCTGCCCAGACCAGGGGACCAGATAAGAGCTAGTTTCAAGTAAACCTTGAAATGTGCACAGTGGAAATATGAAGTCATTAGCACCAGCCCTACATCTCTACAGAAACTTTGTTTTGCACCACCCTGCCTGCCTGTGTAAGCAGAGGCACCGTGTGCTTGCCATGGGTGAGACGGCCGATTTCAGATCAAAACCCTGAGCCAGTGGCACAGTAAATTCCCAGTAGGTGAATCCCCCTACAGATGCAGTGCTCCAGCAATGTCTGCAGCTTGCTGTTGCTCAGCTCATGGGTTTTTCCTAATACCTGGGAAAAGGATCCCATGAAAAGCCCTTGCAGTACAGATTAGGCCAATGTTCCTGATGTGGGAAAACTCTTCAGAAATCTTCCTGGGGCCAAGACCACTTGTGCTGGAGAGCTGCAGAAAGAAGGATGCCCATGACGGTTGGAGGCATGAAAAGCCTTATTGCAGAGCAACACATTTCTGCCCTAACGTTAAAGACTTACCTGCCTCCTGCAGGTCTCCATGCAGGCACTCCGCACTGCAGAGACCAGGAGATACTTATTTGTCTGTCAGACAAGTCCTAGTAGGCAGCTCGGCATTTCCCCTGCTAATTAACACATAGTTAGAGAGAGAAAGGAAAAGGCAGTTTTAACCCCCTCAGTGCTGATCACCTCACAGACACAGCTATATTTTGCCCAGTTTTATGTCTGTTTTCTTACAATGGGTTTATTTGGAGGAGACTCAGGAGTGCTGGTGTAGTTCAAGGTTAAACCACAGAACTGGGTTTGTAATTAAAATTGCAGCTGCAGAAACTATGAAATATTTTCAAAAGAACAGCAATCTATCCTTGCTGTATTATATTTCATCCATAACTCTAATACAGGCTTAGAGAGGGAAGTCAGTGCCATCATCCCCATGGCATAGCTGAAGAATGGTGAAACAACTACATTGGGTGCTTTCCTCTCCCTCCAGGAGCCAGCAGGGCCAGCAGAAAGCCCAGCCAAGCTGGTCCATCACCACCTCTGGCTCTTGGCCCTGCTTGTGGAGGAGACCTGGGTTCCAACACCTCGTGCTCTGGCTGGGTTCTTCTAATGTTTCAGGGCAGTGTTGACAAAGGATGATTCAGCTGGAAAATGGTTGTCAGTGTCATCACAAAAACATGTGTTAAGGAAGAAATCATATCCTCTCTCTTCCCCAGGAAAGCAACACTGTGCCTGCAGTTTGAAAAACCAGATGGAAAGTCAGAACCCTACATAGTTTTCATCTGTACCCAGCAGAAATTAATCATGCTTCCCTGCTCTGAGGCTCTGTTAAAAGTCTTTCTGAGAAATGGATGGCTACAAAATAAAATACAGCATTTCCAGGGTGGTTCATTCATTTTTCTTTATTAATTTTTCTCTCAACACAAAAGGAAACAAAATAAGGAACATATGGGGAATGAGCAGGAACCATTTCTCAATGCCACAGCTATCTGAAAAGACTTTAGATCCATAGTGTGTCTGAAAAACTCATTCACACTTCCCAAATCATATTAGGCGGGTACAGATCATTTTCATTTTTATGAAAATTTGTTGACCTTCTAAGCCTTCTAAGATCTAATAAAACAAAATATGACGAAAGTGGCAGGGGTCAAAATTGCCTTTAAGTCCCAGCTGCCAAGTACTTGTAACTTGCTCAAATGAAGTGTTTATTTTGAAATAAAATGTGTTTTAATTTATCAGAAAAGGTTACAACAAGATGTTTTTCATGGAGCCTGAAGCTACAGAAATACAGAATGCAAAAAGGATGCCCATTTTACCTCAGGGTTAGCTGGCAATTGGAAGAAACCACACCAGACAGCAGTGTATTATCTGTCAGTTGAAAGCCCTAGAGCAAAACAGCATGTGTTTTTGGTTAGACACCTCTTTTAGCACACCCAGATGTTAGGGATAAGACGCATGACCCCCTTGGTGCAGCACACAGAACTGTGCTGGACAGGTAGGCATAAAGGTCCGTCCTGGATTATCCTGGATTTAATATCCCCCAAAGAACCACCCCACAAACATCCCGTGTGTAATCTGAACGGGTGCTGGTGAATGTACCAGGTACCACAGCGATAAACCCACGCTACACACCACAGACAGCACAGTGATGAAGCTCTCAGGTGTGCAGGGCTCTGCATGTGTAGCTGCAAGGCCCTGCTGCAAGGACGTGGTCAAGCATCACTCAGTGGTGGGAAGCAGAGAGTAATTTCCTTCCTCTGCACTTCCACACAGCCTTTGCTTGCTGTTTTTTCCTCTTTTCCCCTTTCCTTTTTTTTCCCTTTAGTTAATTTTTTTTAATTATTAATAACTTTTCCTTAATAATTATATTTTTCCTTTAAACTATCCTTATCTCAACCCGTGAGTTGTTTCTTTCCTTTTCTTCTTCCCCTCCTCTTCTGAGGAGGGGGAGTGATAGAGCAGTTGTGGTGGAGTTCAGCTGCCTACCAAGGTAAAACCACCACCACATGCTCTGTAATTTTTGTTTTGTTCTTTCCTCCTTCTCTAGTAGTCCCTTTCAGTGTTCATTGTTTTGGGCTCTGGACTGACCTTTCCAAGGAGTGATATGCCATGCCCTCAAGGGATTACCCACTCGTCTAGTCAGCACTTGCTAAGCCGTATGTAGATAATGCATCTAGTTTTGGGCCCCAACATAAAAACAAGAACATCGACAAAGGGGAACATGTTCATCTGATGGCTATCAGGATGGCTGAGGCTGGAGCAATGCTCCATGAGGACAGGCTTGGGAAAATGTGGTTGCTCAGTTTGGAGAAAAAAAAGGCTTTGGCACAACCCAAGAGCAGAAGAGCAGCCTTCTTCTACCCATGAAGATGCTGTCAGAAATATGGACCCAGGCTCCTCACAATGTGGTATGGCAAAAGGATGGGAGACAACAAGCATAAGTTGAAACAAGAGAGGGTCAAATTGGATATACAGAGAAACTTCTCCACAGTAAGGACAGTCAAGCACTGTAATAGAGGTCCAGCGTGGTTGTGCAACATCCGTTCTTGGAAGCTTTCAATAGCCAGCTGGATAAAGCCCTGTCCTACACTGCCTGACCCCAGAGCTGCCCCTGCTTTGAGCAGCAGTTTGGATTAGAGATATCCCGAGGTCCCTTCCAACCTGAGTTACCCTGTGATTCTGTAAGAGTCTCCTACTGATAGAGACATCTGCCTTCAAGAGCACCTGGGCCTCCTGATGGAGTGTGGATCAGCATTCTGAAAAGTACCCGGTGCTGCTCTGGTCATCCTCACGTGCAGGGTTTTGTGCACAAATGACTTGCTCTCTGTAACTCAGTTGCGTGCTGACAGCCAGTGTGTTCAAACTAGAGATCACACAGCCCTCTCACCGGAGGAATTCCAGGGGCTGCTGCAGGGTCGGTGTGTGGGAGCAGCAAACACGTCCCTGCCCACGGCAATGCATCCCAGATGGCTTTTGAAGCTCTCCAAGGAGGTAGACTCCACAGCTACCTCAAGGATGAGGAACACTGTTTACAATAGTCCATAACAAGACAAGAGTTGAAACCAAGAGGAAAAAGAAGAGATTGTTTGTTGTTGTTTTGTTGTTGGTTTTTTTCTTCCTATTTTTTTTTTCAGCTTCATAAATAGAAAGAAGGGAAGACAAAGATCATGAACATTTTCAATGTATTAGGAAAAAAAGAGATGAGAACACCTTTAAATCTGTATGTTTCATTGCAAAATCCTATTATATAACATATATACAGCATAATCCTATTATAAAACATAATCCTATTATACAACATATCTAGGGCAAGAAAGCTGGTGAAGGGTCTAGAGAACAAGTCTTATGAGGAATCGCTGAGAGAACCAGGGTTATTTAGCCTAGAGAAAAAGAGGCTGAGGGGAGACCTTATCACTGCCTACAACTACCTCAAAGGAGGTTGTGACAGGGTAGGGATCAGTCTCTTCTCCCAAGCAGCAAGTGATAGGACAAGAGGAAACAGCCTCAAGTTGCACCGGGGGAGGTTTAGGTTGTATATTAGGAAAAAATTCTTCACTGAAAGGGTTGTGAGGCATTGGAACCGGCTGCCCAGGGAAGTGATTGAGTCACCATCCCTGGAGGTTTCCAAAAGACACATAGATGCGGGGCTTAGGGACATGGTTTAGCGGTAGGCTTGGCAGGGCTGGCTTAACAGTTGGACTTGATGGTCTTAGAAATTTTTTCCAACCTAAATGATTCTATGATTCTAACATCCCTTCCCAGGATCTTTAACCTTTTTACAAAATATGAAATGGTGTCACTGAAAAATGTTAGATATAATGTTTTTTCCTTCTTCATTCCCCAGAAAAACATTGTTGGAATGTTACTTTTTGATGTATGAGCCTATGGGTTGATGAAGGCCTGTCAAAACAAATGCATTTTGAATCACAGAATCATCTAGGCTATCTTTCACACCTTAGGGCCTATTTTCATTGGCCCTAAGACTTGTTGGCTTCCATAGCATTAGGAGATTTTTGTAGTAGTGTCCCACTGGTAGAAAAGTCATTAGAAGTCTTTTCTCCTTTAGGGAGAAAGGGCTGTGAGGTATCTTAATTTCATGTGGAATACCTTGGAAATAAAAGAAAAAAAAATGAAATACGTATGCATGGAGTCAAAAGGTACATGTCAAAAGTACAGAACAACCTTCAGCTTGGAAACAGTGCCTCCTTAGGCTGGGTAATATCACTTATATTTATAACTTGTTATTTTTTCTCTTGTGAGACTTTCCTTTTCTTAAATGTAATTATTAATGGAAATTATGTTCAAAATCACTTCCAATAACTCTGTGCCTGAAGTTTTTCCAGAGTGTCTGCTACAGGGTGGTTCGGCTGCCTTAACTGGATGCCCAGAATGTCAGAACAAGACCAGAGGTGGAGGATTTCTTAAGTGTACATCTGCATCTATAATGTTACTGACCATAATTATTTTACTTAAAGATAGTTCCGACAGATAAAGGTTTGGCCAAAAATGTTGCTAAAATATTATTGGAAAATGAACATGTTACAAGCACAAACCATGAAGTAACTAAATAATTCCAAAAAAAAAAAAACACAACACCTGTAGTATTCACTCAGCTCTGCAAATTCTATGGGAGAGAAGGGAACAAAGTGCAACATCAAGACTTTTTATTAGTTTGCTGATCCATTTTTCTTTCCCACAGAATCACAGATTCACAGAATTTCTAGGTTGGAAGAGACCTCAAGATCATCGAGTCCAACCTCTGACCTAACGCTAACAGTCCCCACTAAACCATATCCCCAAGCTCTACATCTAAACGTCTTTTAAAGATTTCCCATTACATTACCTCCTGGATCAGGGTTGGATTCAGATCATTGTAATAAGATTCACTCTAGGCTTGGTGGGATAAGCACTCTTGGAAGGAGTTTACAATTGCTATTTACCTTTTACCTTGTGGTAGCACCTTTGAGTCTCCTACCACGTGCTGGGTGCTGCACAGAGGACAGCCCCTGCTCCAAAGACCCTGAGTGTAAAACAAGTTGAGGCTTTGTGAGGAAACAGGAGATGACAGCTGCACAGAAGTCACTGGGCAGTTCTATTGCTGGAGATGTGAATTAAATTCAGGATCCTCCTTTGTATCTGTTTGGTCCTCACCCCATAGATGATGGGGTTGAGCACGGCAGGCACCAGAATGTACATGTTCCCCATGATGATATGGACGAGTGGAGCCAGGTCCTTCCCAAACCTGTGCACCACGGACAGCCCGATCAGCGGCACGTAGAAGGCCAGGACCACACAGATATGGGCGATGCAGGTGCTGAACACCTTGAGCCTCTCCCTCCATGAAGCCAGCCGCAAGACAGACTTGAGGATCAGGAGGTAGGAGAGGCAGATGAGGAGGGCGTCCAATCCCATGACCAGCAGGATGGCGGTGAGGCCGTACACCACACTGGGGGTAGTGTTGGCGCAGGCCAGGTTCATCACGTCCTGGTGCAGGCAGAAGGAGTGTGACAGCTCCCGTGAGTTGCAGAAGGGAAGGGGCAGGAGGAGCAAAGGCAAGGGCAAGAAGAAGAGGACTCCTCTGGCCATGGCTGCCAGCCCTATTTTCACTGTTGTGGCATTGGTGAGGATGGCAGCATGTCTGAGTGGGTGGCAGATTGCCACATAGCGGTCCACAGCCATGGCCAGGAGGATGGTGGACTCAATGGCCGAGAGGGTGTGTATGAAGAACATCTGGATGAGGCAGGCACTGAAGCTGATCTCCTTGGTGTTGAACCAGTAGAAGGCAAGGACACGTGGCACTGTGGACGTGGACAAGGCCAGGTCGATGGCAGCCAGCATGCAGAGGAAGAAATACATTGGAACGTGCAGGCTGGGCTCTGTCTTCACAATGAACAGCACTGCACAGTTGCCTGCTACAGCCATGATGTACGCGGAGCACAGAGGGATCGCCACCCAGAAATGGGCAGCCTCCAGCCCTGGGATGCTGGCCAAGATGAAGGAGGCTGGGCTGAGGTCAGAGCTGTTGGGGAAGGGCATGGCACACAGTGTGAAGTGCAGTCATGCTATGCCATGGCACGTCCTCCACTGCAAGGGAAAAAGAAACAGCAGCATTATAAATCCTTTCCCATGGCCATGAATCCCATGGGGCTGTGACTGTGAAATGCGGTGGTATCTTATAGTTGCCGTACTAATACAGAGAGCTCCTCTCTTTCTTCTTTAGCCCAGTATGGCTAAATACAGCGATGCATGCTGAGCAGCCCTGAACAGGAATTGCTTGAATTCTTTTAAATTCAAAACACTGCTAAATCAACATTTTAAATGATAAACCCAACAGCTGAACTTGTTTTCTCTCTTTTTTTTTTTTTCTTCTTTCTTTCTTTCTTTTTTTTTTGGCAACATTAAAAAAAAAAAAACAAACCTTTTTTAGTGCTTCCTGTTAAACTTCAGTTCTGCTTGAGTTTTTCCATATGTGCTGTTCTGCCCTGTCAGAAACGTACTCTGTAAAACTGCCTGTGCTGCCTCCCACGGTCCTCCACTCCCAAGTACTGCAGCACGAACACCGAGATGCACGTATTTGTTTGTTTGTGCACATAAATTGGGGATTCATCCTTTTGTGTCTGAAAACACAGATGGAAATATCAGAACAACTGCAGAGAGAAAAATCTGATGATTATTCACCTTATTCTGTATCTATAAACTTTCCAGTAGTGTTGTGGCACAAGTAGAATGATCAGGGATCAGGAAGATATGCAAAAGCATTTGCTTTAGGTGCCCTTTTATTCTCAGGGATTAGATTTTAAAAAATGCTAGGATTTAAAAGTGTTGGGAGAGAGCGCCAATTGCTGAAGCAACATCGGTGTTACAGCCCCAGAGCCGCACATCACAGCCTGCCTGGGGCAGCCCCAGAGGACCAGGGACAGAGGCACAGACCCTGCCTGACTCCCACAGAACTGCTATCTGCAGCATTACTGAGCTTTCTGATAATGGATTTCCTGTACTATCTGTGTAAAACATGGATGCAGAATATTTTAATACAGGCTATTAATACTAATGATTTTAAAAGTAACATTTGGTTGCAATAAATTTTTTTTTTGCTGCACATCTGTGATGAAGCACTTGCCCTAAAATAGCAATCATAGTTTATTTCCCTGATGTGGGGTTTTTCCATCTTGAATCTTTGATAAATAAAGCTCATACACTAGCTTTTTATACACATTTTAAAAACAACGTAGGCAGACTGTTACCATCAAGTTGCCTGAAAGCTATTCTAGAAATGATTTTTTCAGCAAACCACTTATGTGAAGATGCAAGTGGAATGAACAAACTGCTTCAGTAATTGCCAACAAGTATCTGAGCCAACTTACCTGCCAGCCACTGAAGTGTAATTATAGTATGAATCTCATTGCGAAAAATCTGCCATCCTATTCATTTCTTTTGAGAGAATGTGGCTGGGAGAGACACACACACAAAGTAAATAATCCCTGGATGTTTCAGTTCATCATTAGTTCTTTGGCATTGATAGATGCACTGAGGTTTTCAGAAGCAACCAACAATTTTGAACACCTTGTGTAAAGAAGACCAGGTACATAAGGAGTTTGCTTTTTGTAGGGATGAAAACTGGATCTGTACCTTTACAAACACCGGTGAATGCAGATTTATTTTTCCTGGCTGATACTCCCACTAGCAAGCCCCAGTAACTGCATTTGGCAAGGAGTGGGCACATGGAGACAGTAGAACCATCCAAGTCAGACGACCAGTAGCAGCAGCCAGAGTTGCTGCTATTTATTTACTTTATCTCAATAAATATTCATAAACATTGACCAAACTTGTCCCACTGAGCCAAAATTTGTCTGAGACCAACTTCCCAGGATGAAGCTGGCATTCCCAGGCAATGCAACAGTCTTCTCCACTGAATAATCCTCTCCACTGCTCCCACCTCTAATGTGGCAGTGAGAGGGGAATACATACATGTACCTCCTCAAAAGCCCTTTGAGCCATTTCCTTATTTTTCAAAGTCTCCAATGATTTCAAATGTTCTGAAAAGAAACACTCATGAAAGGCTATCTTAATGATACCTGTTTTCTTAATGAGCTGGGACCAGTTTGCTGCAGAGGTGAACTCCACTCATTTCCACCAGATGATATCTATGTAAACTGTCCCAAAGGGTTACACATAAGGACACTTCTGATGGATTTGGCCTGATGACTTCAAGGAAATATGCTGCTTTCTAAACATAGGTGCTGCAAGATCTGTGGGGACGCCTGCCAGTAGGGTCAAAAGAATTAAGGAAGATGAGCTCAGAGATGAACTTTTCTGTTTGCGTTCTCCTCCAGAGCAGCCTGCAGCCCCATGACACTCCTGTGGTACAATGTGTTCTCCTGAGCAAAAGGAAGGGGCTTTCCTCTGGGTTCAAAACCTAATCAGGAGGAGCCACCTACAAAGGGCTACCAGGCTGAGTGAAGCCTGCTCTGGATGGTTGCAGGTACTGTACCAGATGCCCCTGGAGACTCAAAATGTGGATATGGAACCTATTCCAGCACCCTATCAAACTGTATAAAACCCAACTTGCAAGATTTTTTACCTCTTCTATATTTTAATTAGCGTTAGTAATTGCAACTCCTTGTTGTGAATTGCTGCATTTTGGTAGCTGCACCATGACCTCCCTCACAACCCTCTGATTCAGTGTCTTGGAGCTTTTTACCTCTGGGATGATGTCTCCCAAGGATTTTGATCCATGTGTGCAGATTTCAAAAGATGAGTACTTCTGGGAAACGTGCCAATATTCTTAATACAGAGCCCAGTGTTGTTGATACTTGTCTTCTCCAGTTACTAGAGCTGATTAGAATTTTTCATTTGAACTCTTCCTCTTTAAAACCCTAGAAAGTCATATTGACTGCATTTGTTTTTCCTTTTCATCCCCCCTCCCCAAAAAAGTACACATCAAGCCAAAATATTACTTGAGAGGGAAACGAGAAAAGAAACATTAAGCTTTTTTTTTTTTTTTAAACAAAGTTAATATTTCATCTTAACCGATGGTTTGTGGATTTTTATTTTTTTTTTCCTAGCTGGTTGTCATCACTTGCAAGCAGCTGTACCTGCTTGTAACTCAGCTGCTTTCTGTTTACAAATGCACACAGGTCCTGGCTAAATCAGTTGCTCTGAGCAGGCACTTGCTCTGCTCAGTCAGACCAACCTGTGCTACAATAAGCAGAACACGGCTTGATCCTCATCCCCCTGCCAGCCATACCACCAGCCTGTTTCTTGCCTCCAGGGACAGCCCCGGCTGCTGGCTGCTGGCCCTGCCCCAGGTGAGGGGACAGCACTGGCCAGGGCTGATGCCCACCAGGCAGTGGAGTACAGCCAGCCTGCCTAGGGAGGGAGAAAGGACATATGTGGATGTGTCTGAGGTGTCCCCAGGACAGAGAACTGTCCTTACTCCTCTTCCAGTTATGGTGTAGACAAAGGCTTAGAGCATGGCAGGGTGTGCAGCAAGGCTCCACAACTATACATGTATATGGCTTTCCTTCCCTTCTTTCTTTACCCTCCTTCTCTTAAACCTTCCTCTCCCTCTCCCTCTCCCTTTTCCTCTCCCTCTCCTTATCCCTCTCCTCATTAAGACATACCTGTGATATATCTCACATGGCTCTTCCTCTGCCTCCTAGGAAATAGATCTGTTGGCAAGTACTGTAAGCATGGAACAAAGTGCAGAGCTCAGGGCATCACAGAATAGGAATTAGCAGGTTTAAGTGGCTCATCTATCTTTTTTCTCACAACAGTTTTTAAACCACAATTAACTTTCACATTCCTAGAGGCAGCCACAAAGATCTTTGAACATATGTTCCTAAAAGACAGTACCTTATAAAGGTTCTCAGATCCTGAACATCTGCTTGGTACCCTTCAGCTGCACCAGCTGGGAAGCAAACAGGGAGACAGATGAAGCTCTGATGAACTGGGTGATGAAAGTGCACCAAATGCACTGCAAGATTCACTCTGCTGTGGTCTCCAGTTGTGCTAATACATCTCCTACATGTTTTCCTCAGGCTCTTCAGTGCCACCCAAATACACGTTTGCTTGCCGTGGCAGATTTGCTGCTTCTGAGAACAGTTGTAGCCAAGAAACACACTAGTCCAGGGAGAAACTCTCTGGAAGTTTTCAGCCTGGGAGTAGTACTGTGCAAGGATCCTGTGAGCTGAGCATCTCCCCAGCAAAGCTCTTTTCTAGGCTTTTCTGCTGAAAGATTACTTTGTTCCCTTAGTCCTCTGATAACAGCTGGCTACCAGCACCATGCCTTAGGTGCTGGACCTTATATACTTTGAGCAAAGAGTCTCAGTGCAAGCAGGAGCTGCTGTGCCTACTGTCCAGGCAGAGGTTATGATGGTGTTCTACTGAAAAATATTTCACCTTGTGCAAGGGCCCAAAGGGATCCTCAGCAAAGATCCCAAAGGGATCCTCAGCAAAATAATTAGCTCAACACAAAGCAAAGAGTGTCCTGGGAATACTCCACTTCAGAATCTTCCCTTCTTCTTTCTATTTATTTATTTATTTACGGAGAGTTTCCCTCATTATTCTTTTCTCTTTTTATTCTAGATGCAGTGTTGAGTAAAGCAGAACAAAGAAAGACACCAACCCTGAAATATGAATATTCATCTGAAATATGAAGTGCTTAGCAACAGGCAGAGATGGCCCAGCTCCGGTGTTCAATCCTGTCCCTAAACCCTTCACTCTTCCAAGGTGAATACTGAACATTTCTTCTTTCAAGCTACCCAAAATATCATGGAATCATAGAGTTGGAAGGGACCCACAAGGATCATCGAGTCCGACTCCTGGTTCCCCAGAGGACTACCCCAAAATCAAACTCGATGTCTGAGAGCATTGTCCACATGCTCCCTGAACTCCAGCAGCTCGGTGCCATGACCTGGGCAGCCTGTCCCAGTGCCCGACCACCTCTGGGTGCAGAACCTTTCCCTAACCCCCAGCCTGACCCTCCCCAGCTCCATGCTGTCCCCTCGGGTCCTGTCGCTGTCCCCAGAGAGCAGAGCTCAGTGCCTGCCCCTCCAGTCCCCTCATAAGTGGAGGAGCTGCAGGCCGCCATGAGGCCTCCCCTCGTGAGGGGGCTGCAGGCCGCCATGAGGCCTCCCCCCAGCCTCCTCTTCTGTGGGCTGAACAAACAAAGTGACTTCAGCTCCTCCTTGTGCATCTTGCCCTCGAGACCCTTCCCCATCTTTGCAGCCCTCCTTTGGACACTCTCTAATAGTTTTATGTCCTTATCATATTGTGGTGCAATATGGCTTAAGACCAACAATATGGCTTAAGACCAATGAAAATACAGCTCCATCTTTTGGAGGCATGAAAGATTTGGGGTATTTCTGCTCTGTCTGTGGGAGGAAGCAAGCCAGGAGGGTTGTGAAATCTTTCTGTTCTGCTGGCTGAGACCCATCCCATAGCAGAGGGAAAAAATGCTGGGAGATGCTGTTAGCTCCTATCTGTGACCTTCCCCTAGGGGCCTTCACTTCCCATCTCTCTGAGGGGTACATTTGGTGCCTGGTGGCTCTCAGATGTGTAGTTGTAGTACATGATCCATCATGCCAGGAAGATTAACCATTCCTATTACAGTTTTGAAACCCCTCTTTTTCACCAAGAGCCCCAAGGTACCATCTTGAAGCATATCTAATACAATCCTATGCTCTAGAATAATAGCTAATCCTGAAGATTGTAAGCAACTCCAACCTATAATTTCTGTATCATATAAACAGAAATAAAGAAGGGAAAAAAAAAAAAAAAAGAAAAAAAAAAAAGACTTCATCTCATCTTTTGAGCTTCTACAATGAATACATGTCTTTTATTGAAGATATTGTACACATACATTACATTCAATGCAAGACAATGGCTGGAACATTAGACTTGGTAAGACAGTAAGGTCCAGTGAAATAAAAACAAGGTGCAAAAGTAGCATGGCTTTTAACACTGTAGATGTGTATGGCAGTTTAGAGACACAGATGAAGATGAAGATTGAGCTTATTTTTAAGAATTAAAAATAAGAGAGTGTTGAGGGCTCACTTAACATGACCTTCAGAAAATTTTCTGTATTGAACTTTTCCAAACTTTGGAACTGAGCTCCATCTTGTGGAGTGTTCCCAGCTGAACAAAATGGCTGAGATATTCAGAGTGGCTTCAAGCTCTTGGCTCAAGCCAAGTGGAGCTCCAGTGGAGTTTGATGTCTTTAGCTATCTGGTGACATTTGGTGAGGGCACAATCAGCCCATTCAAGGGAGTCCAAGTCAAGTTTACACGCTGTCTACTAGAGTTTGCATAACATGCATAACATGCTTTGCAGATATTCCTTGATCCACCCCACTGTGTAGCTTGAAAGAGAAGACCATTTTCCTGTAATTGTCTCCCTCAAAATGGGGCTTCCATTTGTGTATATCACTATCATAAATACTTGGGGTGCTTACAGGCTGTTGGAATGGATGAAAGATCATGCTAGGACAAAACATGAAGATCACAGCTCTGGGTTGAGGGACATTGTCTGAGTGGATCTGCGGTTCCTTTGTCTGGCAGTGATCCCCATGGATGCAGCATGGGGAAAGAAACCGGTCCACTAACTCTGACCAAGAAACAAGTCCACTAGCACTGTCTGGCAGAACTGGTGGAAGAAGCTACCAGTCAGATTCACTCTTCCTCCACAGTGCCCTGAACAAAGCCTCACGGATGTGGCTACATTTTATACTGTAGATAATGGGGTTGAGAGCAGGGGGAATTATAAGGTAAGTGTAGGCCACCAAAGTTTTAACTAGAGGAGGAATGTTCTTTCCAAAGCGATGAATCATGGACAGTCCGATCATTGGGATGAAGAATATTAGGACAGCACAGATGTGGGAGACACATGTATTCAAAGCCTTGAGACACTCCTCCTTAGTTGCAAGGCTGATAACAGTTTTAATGATCAGGATGTAGGACAGCACAATGAAGATTAAGTCCATCCCCACAGTTGATAAGAGAATAATCATACCATAGAAGACATTGACCTTTATATCTGCACATGCTAGGTTCATGATATCAGGATGGAAGCAAAATGAATGAGAAAGCTCAGTCTTACCACAATAGGTTAATCTTTTGAGCAAGAAGGGTATGGGAAGGAGGGAGACCATGCCTCTCAATATAATTGCTAGACCTATTTTTATGACAGTTGCCTTGGTCAGTATGGATGGGTATCTCAGTGGATGGGAGATGGCAATGAAGCGGTCAAACGCCATTGCCAGCAGCACAGAGGATTCGATGAAGGACAGTATATGGATGAAGTACATCTGAGTGAGGCAAGCATCAAACCCAATCCTTCGGATATTAAACCAAAAAATGCCCAGAGTAGTAGGCAATGTACATAAAACCAAGCCCAGGTCAGTGACTGCCAGCATGGAGAGGAAGTAGTACATTGGTTCATGAAGACTTTGGGTCTTCTTTACGATGAATAGGATCAGGCAGTTTCCCAAGAGAGCAATAAAGTAGAGTGCACAGAAAGGGATGGAGATCCAGTGGTGAAGGGCTTCCAGGCCTGGGATGCCCATCATGAGGAAAGCTGAAGGCTGATAGAAGGAGCCATTGAATTCCCACGTGGTATGTGAGTCATGCTCCATCCCAGCTCAGATCTCACATGACCTATACCTAAAACAAATCAACAACAGAAACTCCACATAGTTGGACTCTCCACTGAATACAGAACTGGGTAATGACAAGCCCCACATCCCTCCACCTCCCCACCAACCTGTGAAAATGCCTCTGTGCTGCTTAAGCCATCATTAGAATTATCATAGTGTCACATATGACTACACTCTCAGCTGTCCATTAAACTATAAAATGAAGGAAAAGAATGAACATTTATTCTTCAAAATAAAGAGATTTTGTTTTTCTTAAAAAGAAAATTAAAATTTTTTGGTTGAGTGCTACTACTTTACGTTTGTCCACAAATTCCACAGGTTGAATTGCTCTGCTGAGTAAACAAATGTTTTTTCTACAGTCACCCCAACCAAGACTAAGCTGCTAAGAAACTGGCTTGGTTTTGGTGCTTGCTGGAGATTGAAGGACCTGAAAATCATGAAAATTACATCTTGGTGCTACGTTGAGATATCAAGATTGGAAACGGATGACTAGATATAACAGAGAATTAGGCAATTAGACATCACTGATCTCAATTCAGAAGAGCAAGGATCCAGACTGAGAGGTCAAGGAAAGAGGTTTGCTCAGCCTGTAGAAGACCTCTCAGAGATGTGAAATCAACTTTCCCCTACCTACAGGGAAGATATCAAGAATGTTCTGCATAGCAGTGTGTGACAGGAGGATACAAATATATATATATATATATGTAAGTTGAAACAAGTGAAGTTTAGACTGGATATAAGGAGAATTGTTCCTCTGTGAGAATGGTCAAGCATTGGAACAGGTCACCCAGGGAGGTGATATGATATTAGAAGTTTTGAAGACCTAATTGGATAAAGCCTTGAGCAGCCTCATCTGACCTTCTAGCTGGCCCTGCTCTGAACAGGATATTGGACTAAAGATCTGAAGTCACTCCAACCTGAATTTTCCTCCCAGCTTATGAGCATGTGCTCTTACCATAGGTTTCAGTCCTCTTGTAGGATTCAACCTTCTCAACACTATCCGGATACCTACACTGCATGAACAACAATGCACCCTAGGATGCTTGAGAGGCTAATGGGTTTCCTGAACCCTCTCTGGGCCTTCTGTGACTGAAAGGCTCTTTGGGTGGATGGGGAAAAGCAGCAGATGTGGAAAACAAGAGCCATTTAAAGGAAAATAAATATTTGTGGCTTCAGACTTACTGTACTTTCTGTAGGATATGAAAAAAAAAAAAAAAACAAGTCAAAAAGTACCTGAATTATGAGCAAGAGGATTTACCACAACACATTTCATTTTTGAATAAACACACATATCCTCCACAACATATTTATTATGTTCCTAATATAATTTTGCTCCATTAGACTCTCAGCCTGTAACCTGATCCAAACCTCAAACAAATCCCAAAGCTTGGCAAGGACAAACATCTTCCTGCTCTGGGTCAAAAGCAGAATGCAGCTGATGGCAAGTGCGGGAGAGCCCCATAGCCATTTCCTTTCCACACAGTCATCACTGCAAAGTCACACATCAGCATCATGAATTCCCTCGGCTGGCACAGAGCTCTGCTGCCCGTTGCCAAAGGGACAAGGCACAGGAGGACCTTGTCAGAGCAAGAGGCAGCACAGAGCTGGGTGAAGCTGCCCGCCACAGGGCAGCTGGTGCTTTCCCTTCCACATCGACAGTGGTATAGGTTGGCAAAGGAAGCTGTGCAGAGGAACCTCGGGTCCCAGTTGGCAGCTTTGCCCTCCCCTGAGGTAGGACCTGTCTCTTTCTGCTGATGCCACAGCATCCAATCAGTGAGAATTAATCTGCAGACTCATGCAATTCGGTCTCATTTGGAGACCAGGTTAAAATAAAAAATAAAAAATAAAAGTGTACGCATGCATCTGTGTCTGTCTAACTGTGTCCTTTGCAGCAGCATATGGTAGATATCCAGGACTCTCAGAGATACTGAAATTCAACAGTTTTCCAGGGTTATGGAAGTAGATAAAAAGGAGAGACAGTGCACACTGGGAAAGAAAGGACTGATCATAGAATGAATCATTGAATTATAGAACAGTCTGGGTTGAAAAGGACCTTAAAGATCATCTAATTTCAACCCCCCTGCTCTGGGCGGGGTTGCCAGCCAGGTTTGGTCATGACCAAATGGGCCTGTCAGGGATTCTTCTCCTGCAAGAAAGCCTCCATGCAGAACTGACTTTGATACTGGAAACTCCTACCATGCTACACAACACTGAAAGAAATTGGCTTCAGCAGCTCTGCTATTCCCTGAGCTGTGTCTGCTTTGCTGTGTGCTCCTACGGGTTACAGAGAGGAATCTCATTCCAAGCATTTTTTCCCCTCCATGTTTTATGTGTGTATATATGTATGTATACAAGTAAATAAATATGTATAAATGTATAAAATACTTATAATACATAAAATATAAAAGCACATATGCATGTTTATGTACATTTACATATATCATATGTTTATTATGTGTATAGATACCATATAACACACACATATGTTACATGTCCCAGCTGACTATTGCAGGGGTAGCAATTGCACTTTTCACACTGCAGCCCTGACAAGGAAGCCAATGCCCATACAGGAGGGTATAAATTTAAAGATTAATGGTAGCACCTGAGCAGCATTCACAGCCAGCCTAGGAGCAACAGAAAACTGTGCTCCTGCTCAGGGCACAATCGCTGCACCACCCTCCTTCACTCTCCATCTCTCAAAGGCCACCTTCTTGTCTGTGTCTGACCTTGATTTTCATGCAGGAGCTTCAGCAAAGTCTTGGTGTTTTAAGGACATCTCCTCAGCCTAGGCAAGCGCGGGGGCTGGGGAAGGATGAGACCAAGACATCTGGTTTTGAGCATCTGAATGGAATGGAGGGTCAGCCGCTCAACAGAGGACGCTTAGCAAAGGGACTCTGGGGACACAGCACCCACAAAGCCAAATTCCTGTTGACTTTAAAGGCAAGAACAGGAACATGCCATTCCCACCGGCTGAGCTGGGCCATCAGACAGGGGGAGCACAGCCTGACCTGTGCACGAAGCCCATCACACAGCAGCGAGCAGTGCTGCAATGGCTGGGTCATCCCCAGTGGTATCTCAGCTCTGCTGCATGACATCACCCCCATGCAGTGCTGACATTGCAGCCACCCACCCCACCCAGCGCTCCCAGCCCCACAGGACCCCTTCAGTGCTGTGGACATCCCCAGCAGTGCTTTGGGGGTGCACATCCCCACCCACGAGGGGTCCTGCCCCATAAACCACAGCCGCTGCACTAGGAAAAGAGGGAGCGCGATGTGCTGGTGATGAAGAGGATGCTAATTGCCCAGGGAACTTACCAGGTGCGGTGGCGAGGCCCGTGTGCCTTACGACCTGCGGTGCAGAGGAAGAGCCCGTGTCCACGCAGCGTGGGGAGGGCAGCGCTTATAAGGCGCCCCGAGGACTGGCCCGTCCTGGCCTCGCAGCCAATCAATCGGGAGCCGCCGGAGCCCGAGCTCCCCGTGCGTAAACAGCATGAGACGTACGAGTGAAAATAGTGTGTGAAGTAAATGATCTTTTCCATTTATGATGCTCTCCCAGCAGGCATGATTTTCTCCTGATAGTTTATTGGGCGACGGGTTTATAGCCTCCTGTGATTTATGGCTGGCAATGCTGCAGCATGCTGGCAATACACACAATTTTTATTGTGAGAATGGATCTGTAATGCAAATAATAATAAATTTTGCAAGGAGTGTGCTTGCAGCATTTCTCCAAGGGAATAACAGAGGTGAAATGGTGCTGGCTGTCCTCTCTTCATAACCAGTGAGACATGAAATGTTTAATTAAAATCATAATATGTTGCACAATAAAAATAAACTCAATATTACAAAGCCAAACACAGACACATTAGCAGATATCCTCTCAGATGTCCCAGAAGTCTGTTGTATCTCGATGTCTCGTGGTAATAAATTTATCTTTACCACCTCAGCTGTGAGGTGGAAATTGCTATTAACCCCTATTTCTGTGGCTGCCAGACCAAGGCATACAAGGGCAAACCTAATGGTTTTCTCCATTCTTCTCTATGGTAAATCCAGTCACTGGACCTAGGAGATACTTCTGTAGTAGGAAATTAGACCATACTGGGGCACTGCCCACTATCAACACCAGTAAATTTTGGTAGTGCTCCCTGGTATGGTGCTGACCTGAGTCAACTGCACTTCAGCAGCTCCCAGGCAGGGGTTCAGGAACCTCCACGGGCAGTTTGCATGTGGCCACCTCTTTTTAGAGGCCGGGGGGTTTGCTAGCCTGATCACAGACCTCCTGGTGCCAGCTGGCTCCAGCACCAAAGAGCAGATAATTTACAAGCACAGGCTTAAGGCACTTGTCTGCTCCTATCTGGTTGTTAAACCTCAAAGCCAGACTTGTGGCTGAATACACTGAGTCTTCATGACACTCATCCAGATGGTCCTGGCATCTCAAAAAAAGAGACAGAGAGGAAGAGGAGCTATGAAAGCTAAACAGCATCTTAGAATGAGCATGATTAGAGGTGTGGAATAGATCCCTCCAGAAACAGGATTATTGGACAAGGACACTTCAGCCTTGAGAAGAGACAACAAGGCAATACAAGAAAGGTCCATAAGATAATGAAAAGGGGAGAGAAAATAAATCTGGAATGATTCTATTCATTGACACTGGATGATGTGTTCAAAAAAAAGTATTAAACATATTAATGCATGAGAGATTCATTCATTTCTATTAAACATGATGGCCAAGGTGTGGCCTTCCTGGGAAGCTTCTACGCTGATTACTAGACACTGCGTTATGTGCCAAGGGAAGGACCAACTGCAAATAACCTTCCTAAATGCCCATTAATGGCCATTCTTCAAGGCAGGATAAAGGCTGCAGGGACCTTTAGTTTCATCCAGTAGAATAGTTCTTATTTTGCAGTGCAAACCAGCTATAGCCAGAGAACATCTTTACACTGGAAAATGACAGCTGCATGGGTGCCAGCCATAACAAGCACAAAACTCAAACATGGTGTGAGGGATTCAGAGCAGCTGAGATGCCACCGTGCAGAGTGGAAGCAGGAGGCTACCCTGGAGCAGCAGGGAGAGGAGAGTGTCCTGCAGCAGCGGAAAAAGATGCTGCAAAGAGATGGGAACAACCATGCCTGCAGGGCAAAGTGTCACGGGCTGAGCTGGCAGGAAAACCCGAGGCTAGGCAAGGAGTGGACATTGAAACAGGTGGGCATGGGCATGGAGTCACCACCACAAAGGGTTTCATGAATACATTTCAGTAATGGTTTCAGCTGAGCTGATCCTGTCTCTGGGCAAAGGTGCAGATGAGCTACCCTCACAAGGGCCCTTCCAGAACTTTTTCTCCACAGCTCTCAAGACAAAGCACGACCTTGACTCTCTTTGGACTGATCCAATCTGTGGAAATGACATGGTATCTGTTCCCTGCTCTCCCTATAGCCCAGCTGCATGCACACACTCATCTTTCATGCACCTTAGCACCTTTAGTTTCTTTCCCCTGGACTCTATCATCATTTACTGTCATGCAAATTTACATTTACATGCCAGGCCATTTTCAGTGCTGTTAGTTCAGCCTCCCTCACTGGGAGGATGCAGACAAACTGTGTTGAGCAAACCCTCCTTTGCAGGAGGAAGCAATGATCCAGTTTGCAAGCTTCAGCATCACCCCTAGGAACTGCCAAGGAGAAAATTTCCCCTCGTTGCCTACCCTGCATATATTGATAGATGACCTACTTCTGACATGAATTTAGGGCTACAAAGTCCTCTCAGGACCTGCATGCCAGGCAGCTTGGTAGCATTGGTATATTAAGAAGGGTTGCACAGGGTCTTCTGGAGATGGCTTGGAGATGAAAATGACTGCTCAGGGTTATCCAGCAGACCCAGAGCTGAATGAGGAAAAGTGCTCAGGCTTCCAGCAGCCACAGTAAAACACCCAACACTGAAATTGTTTGAATCACCAGACTTGAAGTAACTCCACCACATGCTTATTGTGCAGTGTAAGATTGATTCGTCTTGCACTAGATATACTCAAAATCTTGATTCCCTCTGATTTGTGCCTCAAGAATCACCCATGTGCCCCAAGCTTCCCGCAGATCTTTGTATAGTGTGCTGTCACCCAGCTGTATTTGCTAGTTTGCTGCTTAATTCCTTTTCCCAGCGGCATAGGTACTGAATGTGTATAGGAAAGGATGTAAAGATATGTTCTTCTATTTTCCCATTAAAAACAAGAACAAAAAAAAGCTTTCCCAGAATCACTGATGAGGGGGAACACAGCCACCACTTGGCACAGCATCAATCTATTTGCTGGAAATGTTTACAGTTTGAGCCTCAGCCAGCCCTAATCATATTTACTGTATAGGCCAGAGTTCAGTCTTTGATTAGTGATGGACTGTGAGAAGGGATGGCAAGGAGGGAAGGGAAAGGAGGGGGCTTGGCCCTCCCACACAAAAGCCTTTAGAAGACCCTGTTCAACACAGGATTAACACCCGTAACACTCGGGAAGTTAATGCTCATTGGAGATATGCAAAGAAAAAATAAGGAAAGGGTTTAATAAGATCCAGGAGAACAGAATCACCATTGCTACCCGAAATCACCGTGTTAGCACGGTGATTTCCATGGTGATTTTCTCAGCCACAAACTGAGAGGGAGCCCTGCCCATGCACAGATCTGAACTGATAGCTGAGGCTGCAGAGCTCAAACCCAAAGAAAATTATGCTACTGTGGAGGTTTCTTGTCCCTCCAAACCAGCAGTGTCCCCAAATGTGGCTCCAGACCTTGGAAATCCCCTTGCAGAGGGGGAGAAAGGAAGACAGGGCATGTCCTTCAACCTTCTCTGCTTCGGAAACCTTCAAAAATACAGTCTGTTTGATCATACACTGCTTTCTTTGGCAACAGCGGCTGTGTTGAGCTGGACAAAAATATCCCAGCTGCCTGGAAGGAGGGATGATTGCGGCACAAGAGGGATGTCTTCTCCTTGTTGGCAGGCTGTCCTCTCGCTTGCCACCAAAAGGAGCAGCTGACTGCTCTCACACCAGCAGCTCCAAGCAGTGATGCAACATTTTTTGAAGTCAGACATCCACTGGGGCCCAAAGATAGCACTGAAGAGAAGAGCTCGGCAGGACCTGGACTCAGCCCAACCGCTCTAAGGAAGGATCCCCCAAAGGACCTGGCAGCTCTCCTGGGCCATAGTGCTAGGGAGGAATCCCTCTGCTGCTGAGCCCTGCGGATGACCAGGTAGGGCCAGGTAACCATCCAGGGCAGGTGCAGTGGGTTAAACACCGGGGATCCAGCAGCTCCTTGCAGCCAGCTTGTTGCTGGTCCCTGCTGTGTGCATGTTGAGGGCTGGAGGTGGTGGAACTGGTGGGCTCAGGACTACAGTCCTGGCTTAAAAGGCTGTGGTGGTTTTACTCGGGTGGGCAGCTGAGCTCCACCACAGCCACTCTCTCACTCCCCCTCCTCAAAGGGAAAGGGGCAGAAAATACAATGCAAAGGGCTCCACACAGCGGGTCTCCTGCAAGCTATGTTTGAGATACCTGAGCTGACTGATAGACTTCTTGCAGTCTGAACTGCAAAATACAGGATCGAGGGAAGGTGAGGCACAGCTGTGGCTCTGTTCAGGTATTTCAGCACAGGGCTTCTGGGCAACTTCCAGACCTGCAGAAACCCTTACTGGCTCTGGCCCTGTGCTGAATACCCTGCCAGAAAAGCATCGTGCAGTATCTGTGATTAAAAACCTCCCAAGCTCTCCCAGGGTCTGTAATACAGCTGTGTTTCTGTATTTAGTGTTCATTATTGTGTTGATCATACAGTTTTCCAAAACACTGATAGGTTTCTGTGAATTTGCACCCACAATGTAAATTCTGGGAAGCAGTGAAAGCCATGCTGGTGTCTGCGAAATCCTGAGATATATGCAAAGAAAATCCTCATTCAGTGGCTGCTAATAAAAGTCAGCTATCTGCTGGAGCATCACAGTCGCTAACTCTATTATCCATCCCAAACCTGGCCCACTTTAACTTCACTGCCTTATGAGCAGCTGGGTGACCTCAACACAGAGCCTGGAAGGAATTACAGAGGCACACGGTGCCTTTCCAGCAGGGTCTTCCACAGGGAACAGAGCAGTTAAACCTGCACAAAGTGCTTTTAAGTCTGTACAACTGCAATTTGTTCAGAGACCAAACCACCTGGACCATTTCAGCACAAAACCAGTGTTTTTAATTGAAATAATCACAAAAGCCCTGGATAAACTGGAGTTGTGTAAACCAATTTCCTGTGCTGCCACGAGTGACACACAGGAGATCCTTGGTCCCTGGTGCTCCATCCTGCAGAAGTGAATGAGCTCTTGTATGGGCAAACATTGACATATTTAATGCCTGACTAGGTACATCAGGTAAATAATACAATGAGGGGATTCAGAAAACGCAGAAAAGGACAGGGAGTTCTGTCACAAAGACAGCAAACTCTCTGCTTTTAATGTGCGGGGTGGAAAATCAAACAGCCCGAGAGAAATCTGCAAACACTGCAGAGCCCTGTATCTCATTTTCCCATATTAAGTGAAGCTGGTGGACAGACGTGACTCACAGGTGACTGAGATGTGAATGTAGGCCAACATGACCTGCATACAACTTGGTGAAAGACAAACTAAAGCAGCAGCATGGACAGCAAACCTCCACCAGCATCGTGGACAGCAAACCTCCACCAGCAGACTGACATATCTGAGGGCTGTAAATAAGAGCTGGGATGCAATAAGTTTCCCCTGATTGGAAGGAATCTTGAGGCAAAACTGGGAAACTTGCTGCCCCAGAGAGAGCAGCATTGCCTGCTCCCAAATCTTAGCGGTGCGTGCTGCGGCTGTCAGACAAGCGTTGCTCCTCAGAGGTCTCCTTACAGGCACAGTTCCCACCTTCTCGTGCTCCTCTTCTGCAGCACTGCTCCAGCAGGAATGGCCAGCAGGAGAGGCACTGCATGAGAGACCATTCGATTGCCAGAAAGCAGCTACAGACAGCAAAATTCAAAGAACCAGGGGCAAACACCAGTGTGGAAAGAAAGGCTTGTTACACATAGCAGCATCACCTGTATTAGAAGAGCAGCTTTCCTTTTCCCCTGTGTCACCAGCAGAGAAAAAACGTCCCCTGCCCATAGGTATGAGCTTCCCATCTCTTGCTAGAGGTGACAGTGGGAGGCTCAGGCACCTGCACTCTTATGGGAAACTTTTACCAAGTGTCTAAAATGAGGTTAAATAAATCCAAGTGCTTGCTGGAGGCGGAAGCAGCCATAGCCTGCCCTGCACGAGCACTTCCTTCTTAGGAAGAAAAAGAAGAGTTGTGCGAATTAATCAACGCAGAAGGTTTCCAGGTTGTCTGGCCCCATCTGGATCAAGGTGCATGTGTGCCACAGGTATTTCCCACTTGTCTTTGTCTTGCAAGGCTTAGATAGGCCAAAATTCTCTGATACCATTTTCCAAAGGTTGAACATTTTTCAGGTTCTGATCTCACTGACATATTTTGTATTCTGTAGGTTGAAACAGTTCCACTCTGATAAGGTCGAATGTGTTGATTCACCTTTATCAGTCTGCTGTAATTTCTCTGCATTACAGAGCAGGGCACTGGGCTACACCACAATAACAACAGCAGGGTCTTCTGGTTCGTGCTAAAATGTTGTGTCTCCCAGTGTCTGTGCTGGGGGGAAGGCTGCACCTGGTCAGCTGGGTTAACACTGTCTCTTAAAAAGCAGAGCTGTCAGATTTATGCCATGATTTTAAGAAGATACCACCACTGGTATCGCAGTAACAGCACTGAGGAAATGAAAGCGGAGCTATGAGGTGAGATAGTAACGAGGTTACGTTGCTAACTGCTATCACTTCTCAAATTAAATCACCGTGACATCACCGAGCCAGTGGAAATTCAGTCTGGCAAGTGAGAGATGTTATCAGGTGGCTCTGCTGTCCAAAGGCACTGCGATAAGAATCAAGCAGATTTCATAATCGAAATCTGAGTTATTGAGGCTGAGTGAAGTCAGAATCTTGTTGCTGGTCATGCATTTGCAATTATTTTTCCTGCCTACCAGGATGGATGTCTGATGATTAAACAGATGCTGTTTGCTGGACTCTCGTTTCAGGATACTATTCCCCGAGCCAGGAATGCAGTGCCCTGCAGCTGAGGCAGAGACGAACGCCTATCAGCTGCCCTAAGGATCATCAAAGCCACGATGCTCCAGTTTTACACTGCCCGTCCTCTGCTGGTCACAGAAGTCACAGACAGTTTGGTCAAAAGGGACTTGTCGAGGCTGTCTGGTCACCGAGGCAGGATTTTTAAAATCGATCAGCTTTGAGAGGGATTGACTCCCTTTCTCTGCAAGAACCTGTCCCAGTGGTACGACCATGAGATGCAGACAAGGTGCCAAGAGGAGGAGGAGGAGGCCAGGGGACAGCAGCAGGCACGGGCTGCCCAGGTCTGTAACAAGCAGGGACACTGGCAGCCACACTGCCTCACCTCCTCCCACAGCTGGAGATTAGGATTATTCTGCAAATCCTGAAGCCTGCCCAGCACAGCCCACCAGCAGCTAACAGACTTCGGCTTCTTGAGGGATTCCTGTGGATCGAGGGCTGATACATGACCTAGAGAGCTCCTCAGCACCCCAGTGGGTCGGATGCACAGGGTGAAATATAAGATGAAGGGTTCCCTGTGTCGGACGTGGATTCAAGGGTGAGATTTACTTTGAGGTTTTCTTGCCTGACCTTACTGAGCAGCTCAGCTCACCTTACAGCAGAGATACTCCGCAGCTCCACGGGCTGCATTGACTTACCCAGCACCACAGGGACACTGAACGCAGAGCTGCATCTAGGGGAACTTCACTGGATTTTTAGAATTTTTCCTCAGCACTTTGAAAATCTGCATTTCCTTTTATGGTGCTCCTGTGTCATATACTTAAAATGTTCAATTCATTTTTTCAACCGTGATCTCCTTCATTCTCAAGGCTGGGATTGATGTATGATATGAAATCTGTTTACTGGAGCTAAAAGCTGCTCTGTCTGGCAATGTGCAAACATACGGATATAGAGGTGTAAACAGAGGACTTTGTGGCTTAAAACTAGATCAGAGATGAGCCCATGTCCAATTCCAAAGAAAAACCAAACCTCTTCCCAGTGAACATGTAACCCTTCTCAAGATCACTCCATTCATGATTTACTACAATGTTCCCTGAAACTAAACAGGACCTCAGAACCATGAAATCCCTTGATACATAAACAGAAGAGTTATATGGCTGTTACGAAAAATAATAAAATGAAAGATGTCCCAAATGTCTCTCTGGTATGCTTTGGAGTATCCCAGAACTGCCCCAGTTTCAGAAGTTGTTTATGGCCCCCTTTGAGTTCAGCTGGGGCCTGTTTTTGCGTCCTGCAGAGCAGATGAAGTTGTACCAGCAAGAAAGGGGTGCTGCTGTAGAGTCTTCCCCCTTTCCTGGAAGAAATCCGCTGTGAAATTTGTTGGTACAAAACCAGCTGAATCCACTGCAAGGGTTGTGCGTGGTTAGCTGTTTCTGTAGGAAATTTGCTGACCCAATTAAAATGTGAGACTGGAAAAAACACAGATGTTGACCAGAATAAGAAGCAAGTGAGGCAGCAATTGGACATGATTTATTTTCACATCCCTTTATAGCATTATCAGACCTACTGTACTTACCGGGCATCGGAGGTGCTGGTGTGAAGATGACAGTTTACACCTTCTGCTGGCAGGAGAGAATTTTGTGAATAATATATATTCACAAATATGTAAGTACAGGGCTGAGCAAATGCAGATAAGAGAAAGGGGATCGACAGGTGGAAAGCACTTGTAGAAAAATTGGAATGTACATTATTACTTTTGGCGCCATTAATGGAAAGTCAAACAGAGAAAAGCAAACAGCGAACGCGGGGAAGACGCGTGGTCCTGTCAATTATTAAATGAAGCCAGCAAAGCGCCGTGACTCACAGCCAGCTGGAGAACAGGCAGGCACAGGGGAGCTGCTTGTTTTGCTAATGCAAGCCTCAGGGTAGCAAGGTACCTGGCCCAGATACTCCGGAAAGTGAGTGAGATGATTTTTAAATAAATACAAACATGGAATAAATACGAACGAATATTACTACAAATCCCAGTACTCAGCACACAGACCTTTCGGAACTGCAGTGCATTAGCTACACTCTGTTCACGAGTGAAAGGCCATCTCCAGGAGGGCTGGAAAGTCCCATTTAACCCAGGACAGACAAATTGCTGTATCACGCCTGTCCTTGGAAGGAGAGGCACGCGCTGCTTTGGGCTCAGAGCCCCAGTGTCAGTCAGCACGGCTTGGCTGAAACAGATGAGGTGCTCTTAGTTTTTTCTCAGTTGTGGATTTTCCCTGTGCGGTGAAAGGTTCAAAACAGCCGCCAGATTTGTTGACAGCTGACAAGCATCAAATGCATTCACCTCAAAGCAGCCCAGGGAATTATTCTGCACCTCCAGGAACTGCTCTGCACCATCCACAAGCTGCTCACAGCAGCGTTTGCTCTTCCCCACAGCATGCCCAGCCCAACTCACTGCAATCAGCAAAACACCTAAACACACGTTAAAGTGCTTGTTCTAGTGGCCACACAACAACTTGCATGGGATGTTTGCACAGTGTAACACTGCTGAGAGTTCAGGTCTCTGTGGTTAGGTCCCCAGCTTCCAACCTCTTGCTGGCAGATCAAAGCAGCTTGCCAATTTCAGCAGGAACGTGGGAACACCGTGTCTACAGCTCATAGTTTTGTCTGGGTGATGCCAGTCAGCCCTTTGGGAACACTGATTGTGCAGGCTTGACCTTCTTTTGACACCCGAATCCTGGCCATCAGAGCTGAAGGTAACCAGCCCATTGTGCAGTATCGTGGCCCTGCTGCATGCTGTGCTGGAACTGCTGGCTCCAAGAAGCTGCATGTGAGTGACAGGATGCACCAAAGCGAAAAAAGGAAAGGTAGAACTTGGCTGATGCTCATGGCCACCTTCCCAGAGCTGAAGGCTCTATCTCCTGGTAATTCTCGCACCAGCAGACGTACAAGCAGCAGTTGGAGTTAAAACTTCATTACTGTGAAGAAGTGAATCACGTTATTTGTATAGGAGGAGTCTCGTGTGATCACACAACCTTGGGAACTGAGAGTTTAATACAATCGAAGGATGCGGGGATGTTTGTAATTAAAAGCACAAGTCTGGTAACACTGTATTTCTTCAGGGACCAAAGGTGCCATTAGCAGCGAGTGCCTTGACCAGAGCCTGCTCTCGGCAGTCCCCTCTCCCCGCCTGCAGAGCTGCTGAGAAGTGGAGCCTCCCGAAATGGGAGGTGGAATACAGTGAATTGCCATAATCCATCCCTCCATGGGAAGGAAAAGAGCTGTACTGCAGACGGGGTGACTGGTTTCTCCTGGGGAGTGACACAACGTGAGTGACTTTTCTCCGAGACAGGGAATTGCCTGAGAGCAACCTACGTGGAGAGGAAAGGGAGGGGGAGACTGACCTGGGCACGGTGTCTCTCCAGGGCTAGGCATGCTGCTGGCTCCTTCTCTGACAGAGGAGGATGAGGATCCTCCTGCGGATCTGCTTGGTTTTCCAGCTGTACACGAGGGGGTTCAGGACCGGCGGCACCAGGAGATAGGCATCGGCCATGAGTGCGTGAGTGAGGGGGGGCAGGTGTTTCCCAAACCTGTGCATGACAGACAGGCCAAGGAGTGGGATGTAGAAGATCAGGATGGCGCAGAGGTGGGAGATGCACGTGCTGAAGGCTTTGGCTCGTGCTTCCTGGGAGATGATGCTCAAGATGGCCCTGATGATCATCGTGTAAGACAGGAGGATAGTCAGGGAGTCCAGGCCTTTGGTGAGCATCACCATGGTCAGCCCGTACACGCTGTTGACCCTGACATCCCCGCAAACCAGCCTCAGCAGGTCCTGGTGCAGGCAGAAGGAGTGAGACAGGACACGGGACCTGCAAAAAGGCATCTTCTTGATGAGGACAGCAACAGGGAGCACCACACAGATGCCCCGCACGAAGATCGCTGCTCCTGCCTTCATTATCAGGGTGCTGGTCAGGACAGAGGCGTAGCGCAAAGGGTAGCAAATAGCCATGAAACGGTCGAAGGCCATGGCCACCAGGACCCCAGACTCGATTTCGGAGAAGGAGTGGATGAAGTACATCTGGACAATGCACGCCTCAAAGTGGAAGGAGGTGGACTTGAAACAGAAAACAGCCAACATGGTGGGCAGGGTGGTGAGAGATAAGCCCAGGTCTGCCATGGCCAGCATGGAGAGGAAATAGTACATGGGTGTGTGGAGGCTGTGGTCGGTCTTTATCATCCAGAGCAAGGTGCAGTTCCCCAGGAGCATGAGGAGATACAGACAGCAGAGAGGCAATGCCATCCAGTAGCTGCTCATGGGCAGACCAGGAATCCCAGTGAGGATGAAGGTCAGGGGACTGGGCCCAGTCCTATTGGAAGCCGACATCTCCTGCTCCGAGGGTCCACGGGTCTGAAATAACAGATCATCCTGGAACGACAGCCCTGCTATGGGACAGCCCACACTCCCCAGCTATAACCGTGTAGTGGGAATGGGCCCCCGAAAGCCAAGAAACATCTGCACAGTTGCCCTTGTGCGTATCCATCACATCAACCAGAGCCACAGTGGGCCAGCCACAGGGCTGGTGTCTGGGCTTTGCACAGCAGCAAGTGAGGAGAGAGCAGCGCAGCATTTACTGCGTGTCATACCCCCCACACCACCATCACCCCAGTTGTGGCCCCCACCCTTTAAGTACCTCGGGTTTTGGGAGGTGCTCAGCCCTTTGAGAGGTGCCCAGACGCTGCCCAGCAGCACAGGCAGGGCGAGAGCTGGGTGCTGGGGGCAGCTGGGGCAGGGCTCTGCAGCTGGTCCGAAGGCAGCCAGGCCACCAGAGATAACATCTCACTCAGAGACGAGAAGTAGCCCCATTATAACTGACTCTGTATTGATTTCTTCCCTTTTTGTTTAAGCACGGCAAAATGTATGATGTTTTAGGGAGCTTTATCAGCTAAACCCACAGGTCAATTAACCAAACTAACCCTGATGGAAGGAAAATGAATTTGTGCTTTACAGCTGACAAAAAGGTTAAATGGAAAGGAAGAGATTCGGGGGCTCAGCTTTGACCGAGAACCCGAAGTGGTGTTTCATCTGCCTGAGGCCATTAGAAAACCCAACGGCAAACAGTGCAAAACCAGAGAGCAAACACCGTGTTCCCATTTAGCACTCCAGGCAGCCTGCCTTCTGGGGCAGCGTCACGGCCCGGGGGCACGGGTGATGCTCAGCAGCACGAAGCAAGGCCAGGTGGGGGAAATTTCCAGAGAAAAATTCCAAGCAGGCTTCTCAGCAAATGCAGTTAAATTTAGTGCATCTTAAAAGCACCAGCTGAGCAGCCAGCAGTCGTAGCAGCACAGCCTCATCCATGCACCTCTATTCAGCTGGAAATAAATACATTTTGTGTAACCGAGGAGCTGATGATTAATACTTATTCCAGAATTTGTCTGCACACACACCAGCACACTCTGAGACATCATCTACTATTAGAAAAAAATAAAAAAAAATAAAAAAAAATCAAGGTTTCACATGGACAAAGGGTCAGGCCTGAAGGACAGCAGCTGTGCCTGCAAATGGCTCTGCACACCACAGTGCTGGTGGCGTCCAGCAGCACAGGGGCAGCCCCAGAGGAGCTGTTCAACCACCCACTTCCCTGGCTAAGGGGCTAAGGGGGAGACATGGGGACAGATGTCAGTGCTGGCTGCCCACAGAAAGAAGGAAAAAAGCTGACAGAAACCGAACAGAGCAGTGCAGGAGAGGGAGAACTGTGGGGGTGAGGGCAGCTGAGGGCATAAAGGGCCTAAAGCCATGGAGCTGAAGCCCCTTCTTGGCCCCTGGTGGGAGCAAAGTCATTGTGGAAATAAACTTACCTGTCCTAGTCACATAACACCTGAAAAAATTAGGGAAATCTATAGCTATTCGCCAAAGCCAATTTTTACAGCTGGTTTTCAGACCAAGCCCATCTGAATACATGGAAAAAAACAAAACAAAACAAAACAAAACAAAACAAAAATAACTAATGCTTAGTAAAACAATTGCTTAGCAAGTAAAGCAAAGCCTTTGCACTTCTCTAATACGCTGGCTTGTTTCTTCCAGCAGAGACTTGTGTAACTTCTTGCTTTGGCTCGAGCCCTCAAACCCCCTGCCCTGCATGGGAGGAATGCCTCTGTCCCACTCCCCTGCAGGCTGCCCACCCGCACTCACCCCAGACAAAGCAGAGGACGTGGGGTGGGCACCAGGAGCAGACGCAGCAGCTGCAGGCAGGCACTTGGGCAGGTGAGGAGTACTTAGCCCAGCTGGAGCAAACCCCATGGGTCCCACCACGCACTCCCAGATGGTTTCCTTGCCTTCAGGGGCTGTCAGCACCACTATCTAGGCAAAACAATGGACAAATCTCCCCGTGAAGGGGAGGGAAGGGCAGCGGGTCCAGAGGCTGACACTTGGTGTGGATCAGAGCTGGGGTTCTGAACTGGGAAAAGTATCACACTTCATATAAGAAAAGGAAGTGTAAAAAAGGCAGGTTGAAGGCAAAATTGTCTTCAGGTGTGTGCATGCATGAGCAGTTTTCCAGGGGGTATTTGTCCACTGAAAACTTTCTGAAATATTCCTCCCTATGGAATAGCGTCAGTCCCTCTTCTGTGAGCAGAAATTGCACCAGCTGGGTTACCTTGAGAAAATCTGTGTCTTCAGGCACAGGGAGGGGTAGCAAAAAGCAGAGCTTTCTGAGGCTCATCTTCTGGCTGTGATACAGGATGGAAGCTAGGGATGTTAGAAAAAGGAGGCAGCGATGTCCCAGTGTCCCAGCAGGAGCAGGAGCTCAGCTCATGGTGGAGAGCAGGGCACAGCTGTGTCCGTGGGACCCTCGGGGACATTGCCTGGTGGAAGCCCACGGTGGCCCATGCACATCTGTAAGCATATCAGTCCTCAGCAGTCCCATGCATCGCTCCCCCACAACAGCCCCCTGCACCACACCAGGTGAAACCTGCACATGAGAAGATAAATTTAATTTTAATTCTAGAAGATAAATTTAATTTTAATTTTTAATTAAATTCACATTTAATTCTGGCTGGGGCTGACCCCTCCAGCTGCTGCCAGCAGCCTGGGGTTGATCAGCAAACCAACGGCAGCAAATGGCCCAGGGATGTCACCCCCTGCCATGCGCCTCGTCGGCGCAGCCCCTCTGCCCTCCGATTGACCACGGTTTGTTAGCTGTTCCCTCCGTTAAGGAAACCAAACAGGAGGCCTGATTTCCCTGGCTGCTGACTCTCGTGAAGCCTTTAGAAATGCAGTGGCTCAGCCCCCTCTCCTCCAGCCCAGTCTGGACAGATCTGGCCGATGGTTCAAAAGTTAAGGGAAGGGCGGAGGGCTGGGCAGGCACATGCATAATCACACAAGTGCAGCCACTTCAAGAAAGTCCTCATCACTCACACAGGCACAGCCAGTGTGAAAAGCAGTCATTTTTAACAGTCATTTACAACACTCCCACCTGAATATATGGGGCTTGAGCATCAGTTTTGTTCCACACTGGTAAATGATGGAGCTGTTCAATGGTCCAGCAGCACACACGTTCCCTCCGGCCAGATCATGATTTTGGCAATTAGCTGCCGAAACTGATGGTTCCCTTCAATCCCTTTCTGCCTCAGTGTTGACAATTAAACAAATCCTTTTATTTGTCTTCATTGTAGAGAGACTCAAATATCAGGATCCTGAAATACCCAGAACAGAGAAAGCACATGAAAAGTATCACAAAGCACGAAGTTTTTCCTAACCTATTCCCCATTTCTAGGGGATTTTTTTTTTTTTTTTTTTTTTCATGTTTTTAAGTATTTGGTTCATAATTGTTTTCTTTGGAGTACCCGGATACCCTGCCACCCTGACGCTTCGCTGAGGAAGGACAGCCTGCTACTGCTGGCGGAGGAGTGACAAGCAAAACCAGGCCCCAGCTTCAGGTCTCAAGCGACACCCCAGCACGAACATCTCCTTGATGAAGCCTGCCCTTAACAGCCCTGCAGCTCCGTGTCAGCGGGGTGTGCGGCGTTTCGTCCTTTCCTGGCCGGCAGCATTGCCATGTGCTGGGTTAACAGTTGCAGGACTGCGCTTTTGGGAGGATTATTCCCATTCTCAGAGAACACAATCCTCTAAAAAGACGGAGAGATCAGATAATCCTCGTATGTAGGGCATTATTTGTGGCTGCCAATTTTACAGTAGCCTATCCAAGATGTCGGTGAGGGCAGAGATGTGTTTCATAGCAATAAAATATTTTTACATCTTCTTTATCCCGATCTAATGGCTGGTTTCTAGCAGATGGAGCCAGACTGGAGCTAACCCTGGGCAGCCCTCCAAGGCAGAGAACATCAGGCTTACACCTCACGCTGTTCTGCAGGGCTCAGAGCTGAGCTTCACCGATGTGCACGGAGCTGCCACAAATTGGAGGTGTCTGACCCGCTGTGCAGAGCCCGGATTTCCAAATTGAACAAGCCTGCTGGCTCCTTGCCTGCTGGGCCCAAACCCAAAAGTGCCGGTACGCAGCCAAGTTTCTGTAACAGGCACGTGGTGTGGCAGGAGGAGAGCCCGGGTGGGAGGAAGCACGATCGTTCTCTTAGGAACATCTTCGTGCAGAACTACGTGCTGAAGTGCCAGCCTGTATTTTGCCCTGGATGAAGCACCCAGGCAAGGACAGCACCCACAGAGAGGGGCCAGCACCTCTCAGGGAGACTGCAGCCTGTCCAAAAACATGCCAACCATCCTGGATCTCCTGATGGCTTTAGCACAGAGCTCATTATTTCACACATGGGCACATGAAGAACAGTGTTGGTGTGATTCAGCTCCACCACAAAGCTCCTCACCCAACCCCGAGCTTCCACCTACCTACCCCATGCTGCAGCAGAGCCCAGAAGCCCCCGAGGCTCTTTCCCCACTCTGATACCTGCACGTTTCTGTGCCCCAAGAACAGCACAGCAGCACCAGCTCAAGGGTGGCAGACCACAGCCTGAGGCACGAACTCATGCTTCCAAAAATAAAATGTTCCCAGCCCTTCCTCAATTGCACAGAGCACACCTCAAAACTTCTCTGTGCAATGCAGTCTTCACAGAAAGAAGTTAAAGGGGAATGAATGTGACCACAGGGAGAGAAATCCTGCCTTCAAAGCCCTGAAGATCTTGCTTGTGTTTCAGGAGGTAGCATTGCCCCTCAGAAGCCCCGCTCTGGGGTGTACGCGTGTGGGAAAGCCTGGGGTGTTTGCAGTGGGTTTGCTGGGTGGGTGCCATCCCGTGGGGGGTGAGCAGCCTGGAGTCAGGGCTGCTGCTTTTGATCCAGCAGGAGTTTATAAAAGCTACAGATCTTATAAAAGCTACAGATCTTATAAAAGCTACAGATCTTTACATAATTTTCTCCTGTGATGCCAGCGAGAAATCCTGCTGCCAACGGGGAAATCAACAGCTGGGGCAATGTAAAGGAGGGGGCTTCTCTGCTGGCCGTGCAGCTGGTCCTGGGGGAGCCCTGCAGTGCTCAGCCCTGGGCTCCATGCAGCTCACTCATTTGTGCAAAGACACACATTATGCATGTATTTTTATAGGTTATAGCACATTTAGACAGATACAGTAAGAAAATAAAGCCAATAAGCAAAATCCCCGAAAGGTCCCCAGGAAAGACAGCACTAGCCCAAAGAGCCAGCCAACGCGTGCATAATCAGACACTTTAAGAAACTTTTTTATTTTTTGGCTTCTCTGATGGGTTTCACACAGAGGTGGTGGGTGGCACGGAGCTCCCTTTGTCCGTGGCTGTGTGGATCCTGCAGAAGCACGGTGCGGTGCAGACAGGGGCTGTGCACTCAGGCTTCCTCCTGAGGCCGGCTGCACAAAGTCCAACACTCCAGCTGACTGGCAGGGCTGTGGTGTGGTTGTGTCTGCCAAGCACAGGGGGAATTGACCACTGGAGCAGCCTCATGCCAAGGCTGTCCACCCAGGGCTCCCCCATGGTCCAACATCACCGTTTTTATAACCGCCCCAGGCTGCGTGTCACCAGTCCTGCCCACAGTGACACGGCTGTGACAGGAGCTGGTGGCCGCCTGCTGAGACGTGGCCACCACAAACCGGGGCTGGTGCCTCACTGCGACATGGCTGCTGCCTTCCACCTTCCTCCGTGAGAGCAACTGAAGGATAAATAGACAAACCCCTGCATCCATGAGTGCCTGGTGGTGCTGAGCACATCTCAGTGTGAACATCAGGACCCGGCCACCTTCTCACGTCTCAACCTCAACCCCAGATAGATGGGGGCAAGAGGGAATAGCGCAGCAGTGGGAGGGATCCGTGCTCCCAGGTTTTTTACACATCTTTATGAGTGCTTGTTTAACAAGGTGGCTCAGAAGAGAGGAATTATGTCCTCCTCCTGCCCAGGAGGGTGTGGAAAGCATCCTCCCATCACCAGGAACTCCTCTTACTGCTTTCCGTGGTTTCCCAT